ATACGTCCTGAATTAACCCTTTCATGTCCAACATCCCACATATTGTGGTTTGGCTTGATACTAACTTTTGATTCAGAGTCTTGAAGATTATTTCAGATACATGAGTAGCAAGGGCAAAACTTTCTTCACAAGTACAGGATCTTTTATTGTTTCATGACTATATTGCATTTGCTGCCAAGAATTTTGAAGGAGGAAAAGAAAAGCATTGAAATCCTTAAATTGGCAACACGTTAGGTTCAAAATCATTGTTTTGTCAATACAAATTAACAATTTTTAACTTTTCAAGTAAGTTCCTACCCATGTACATGTGTATAAGTTTTCAGAGAAATTACATTTTATTACAAAAAATATAGCAGTAAAACTGTTGCCAATTTGGAGAGCAACATGCAATTAATTTAGCCGTTAATAAATCAATCCTGTTCTGTTATACTCAGATCCCCTTATAACTTTGTTTGTTGTTTCATACTTGCTCAGATGTGAACAAGGGTTCTGCGCTTAAAGGCAAAGCCCAGTTTTGGAAACGCCCCCCCCCCCCCCCAAAAAAAAAAAAATGAAATGGAAGCTCTTATTTACCAATCATGTGAAAGAATATGTTTTGACTAATACATGATGGTAAAAGTTTTGCCGGAAAAACCGCCTACTAATTGATATAGTTGGTAAATTGGTTTATCTATTGGGACCAAATAAATAACATGCACATGTCGCGCATGTGTGCGTAGTCCCATATACATCTTTCTGTGTACAGTGCTTGTAACTTTACGAAGACTGGGCCAAATTTCTTATCATTTTGATGATTCCAGAACCTTGCAGTACACACTAATACTTACATGTATATGCTGGATGATCAAACTTTTCTGATCGTTTCCTCATCGTTTTTTTTTACAATGCAATCCCATGACCAGAACTGTTCTTTATCTTTAATACATTAAATTAGTTGTAGCTTGCTTCAACCTCTGTAAATATGTTATGTAAAAATACGCCAAGCTTGACTTGTACACGTACATGTATACACACTGTATTCAAAGAATTAGTCACCACATGTTTACAGTTAAAATGACATACTGGTACTTGATAAGATCTTAAGTCAACATTGTTCATAATCTGTCAATATGTTGATTATACTGTATACCGTATGTCTAGAACTGTTTATCTCATATCTGACTCATTAGATTGGAATGAGCACCTTGTACGTTAAAATTCATAATAGTATGTGAAGTTTGTCATGGACTGTCCTAATTTCTGAAGTGGCTTGATTTGGGAAATGCAAGTATATGCCTCAGTGAATCCTGTATAAGAGATTGGTCAGGGGATACAAGCAAAGTTAATTCACACATGCAACTTTTTGCGGTATCTGAACAAGCTTGTACCTGTTTATCCAACATGCAGGTTCCTCTAATACCCTTATAACTGTCGGGTATATGTATATTTTAGAGGGGACCTACATTAATTCTGTAGTGCATTTAGTCTACACATATATATGTATTAAGGTCTATACATGTACATGTTGCAGTCTGCACTGCTGTGCAGTATACATGTATATAAAAGTACATACAATTAGAGATTTAAAAAGGATTATGAAAAAAAGTTCAGAAAATGAATGAATGAGTGATTTTATAGTACCACCGACCCATAATTGGTAATTTTTGGCCAAAATTCTTTTGAGAACCACTGATCTGCTTCATGACCTTTCATTAATTAGTCTGCATGCACAGACTCTAATTTGACACTTAAACCACAATTCCTAAAGCCTTGAGCAGACCCTAGCTCCGTCAACCTGTGGCTGTGTTCTGAGCAGTTTAAGTACAGAGCCCTATGCAGTATGCTGTCAGCCTAGTCTCTAAGTGCAGACACTGTTACGCCAGGCAACTGTGACGAGGGTTTGTGGTGTAGACTAGTCTTTCATTCCAGAAGATTAAAGAGAAAATGAAATCATTCATAGATAACAAAGAAACAAATCTTACAGTGACACACCTTGTGGTTTAGGCAGAATAGAATGAAAGAATGAATTTTTTATACATCCTTTTCTAACAACAAATCAAATGGGATTACTGAAGCGGAATGGGTAAAAAAAGGATAAGGTGGGAGAGGTATTTACTATGAATACTATTTTATTTTCTCTTTATCCTCCAATGAAAGATTAGTCTGCAGATAAAAACACATGTGTTTATACCCTGACTTGCAGTACAACGCTGTAAATTTTGATTGGGATGTAGAAATTTGTAGATATTTCATGTGCATACATGTACATGTATACATGTATATATTACTATATATAAATATGAATGATCCGGCCACAATTAAGTTGTATACCTATTTGCAAACCTGGGGGGTGTTTCACAAAGATCCTAAGTTGAACGTATCTCTAAGTTGGACGTAACAATTATGGAAAGCCATTAGTATCCTTGAAAATATTTTTTAAAAGTTATTTTAAAAGGCATAAAATGTTGATTCAAATCATTCATATTTTCTATTATCATGGGAGATTACATGCTCTTGATGTGTATTTTATGAAAAGTATAAAATAACTTAATTTTGCTTTTGAATATATTTTATTTTAAGGCTACAAATGGCTCTCCATAATATTTAAGTCCAACTTAGAATTAAGTTCGACTTTGAATCTTTGTGAAACACCCCCCTGGACCCATGGTTCCAACCCTTACCCCTACCCTTTGACAAACATTCGAAAGCCCTGCTGTGCATAATGTATAAACATAAATCATACAGATGTGATACACTAACATGTACATGTACATGTACATGTGTATGTCACTGGAGCAAATGTTTATATGACCATTCAATTTTTTTACATAAACATGTATCAATAGGTGGATTCAGAAATTGAATTAAAAGCAGACACAAATCTAAGCACTGTGTCCTTGTCCAAGGCAATTATATTTTTATAGGTAAATATTTTATGTAAATATGGTCATAATAATGCCGGTCTTTTTTCTCGCATGAATAACTGCAAGAGAAACGTCTAATGCACACATGTACAAAGGTGTTGGGCATAAAAACACCAGGGGGGTGTTTCACAAAAACTAAGATCGACTTTAAGTTGGACTTAATGGTGGCAGGCCATTCATGCCACTAGTTCCTCTAACCATTCTTGGCATTGGTTTCTCAAGGAGCGTACAAATCGTGGTCACAAATCTACAGAATTTAGTTTTTTTTGATAGTTCATTATTGAAGGAAAATATGTTATTTAAAGATTATAATTGAGGGACCAAAAGTGTGAGCAACCAGTGGCATGAATGGCCTGCCATAGTTTAGTCAATCCTAAAGTCGATCTTAGTCTTTGTAAAACACCCCCCCCCCCAGGACTGATAAAATGCTGGCTTTTGTGTTCTAGGTCCATGTTTCTCCCCTGGTTCAAAATTTCTCCCAATTCAGTGAAACTTGCCTTACCGACCATCAGTATAGAAAGACTACATACAGTCTTTAAAGACCACATTTATATGTTTCCTTTGATGTTGGAGCTGTGTTTCTCTGTAAGAGCTGTACACTTGTACATAACAAAAAAGACCACCTGCCTCTAAATCCTGCTTTTCTTGTCTCCATGATCAGTCTACCCTCAATTTAAAAATCTAATACCCCTTTCAAACCGAATTCAGAAGTTTTCCCCTGGGGGAAATTTGTAAAGTTCCCTAGGGAAAATATGCAATACATTAGCAATTTGTTTTACTTGTGTTGACGCTCTTTTCGTCATACACCTGTAATTCACATTTTCCTCTTTTAATATGTGTATGTGTACGTGTGTGTTTGTGTGTGTGTGTGACAAATTTCCTTAAAGTTTAGATCTTGTTTTCTTTTTTACTGGCTAAAGTTTAGGCCCATTTTCAAGATACTTGTAAGATTCTTTCATGTGCAGTACACACTACAGTACTGTTTGCACACTTCATAGGAAGCAAATTTAAGACCCCCATCTGTTTCTTAATTGATTTCTAAATCTATATAATGTTTAATGAGTAGTGACTGAACAAAAAATCAATTGCATGTTACATTAGCCGTTCAGTGACGTAGAAATATTGATGACAAATGGTATACCTGCATAATTAAATCTACAGTTTGTATTTTTGTCTGGCATCAATAAATATTTTAATTTTTGGGGTGCATGAAGTGCAAGCTTTCCTAACGTTTTATTTGCCAGAACATTAGAAATATATCAGTAGAGCTGTTGTGGTCTAGTGGATAAGTCACCAGACTTCAGATCACATTGTCCTTTGGCAAGACGTTAATCCACATTTGCCATCTCCACCCAGGTGTTAAACGGGTACCCGATAGGATGCGAAAGTTTATGTGGTTGGATGAGCAAGTGTGCGCTTGTAAAATGGCGAGAGGCCAGAATTCTCCCCAGGGAGTGGAGAAAATGCATACAATGTGTGCAGGTAAACCTGAATCTGATGACCAAGGTAATAATATACATGTAATAAATGTATCTGTAAAGCGCTAAGAAACATCGTTGTATCCATGTATTGGGTGCTACATTGTATATAAAAGTGGAATATTATTATTAGATATTTGAAGCAAATGAACCTGGACATTATGGCCCGAATTCACAAAGGAGGTTTGTCGACAAACCTCCTTTTGTTCTTTACAAACCAGGTTTGTAAAAAACGTGTAAAAACACGTCATATGACGTACGAAAACCAAGGTTTGTCGACAAACCTCCTTTGTGAATTCGGGCCTATATGTAGGCCTAGAGTTTCTTGTAAGGGAGTGAGAGAGAGAGAGAGAGAGAGAGAGAGGGGGAGGGGGGGGGGGAGGGAGGGGGGGGGGGGAGGGAGGGGGGGGGGGGGGGAGAAGGAGGGAGGAAGGGAGAGGGAGATGGGGGAATGAAAACGTCTCCATTTTTCCTGATTATGTCTGTGTAATGTGTATATTCATGGGGCAAGCGTGTGTACTCCCTCAAAATGGCCAGAATCTGGCCTTGTCATCAGTACGCAATGATTTGAATATGTTTTCTTAATTTTCTCCTTTTCTTTCTTTCTTTCTTTCTTCAGATCACCGTGGCAGGGAAGGCTGGTCACATCCCTGCTTTCCCAGAGCCAGAGGGCAGTGACCTTAAGAGACACCTCAGACAGGTATGTATTCTTAGTCTTAATACATCTTCTTTTTTTTCCTGCAACAAATTGTTTTAAATCACAAATATCTATTGTCATAATTTGTTTTATAATTATTTTTTGTAAAAACATTTTTTTTTAAATGTAATTTGTTTTGATTTTTTGTTGTTTTTTGTCTCATTAATTTGGCAACAGATACATTTTTCTGTCTTCCTCATATTCTTATCCATCCGAAAACACCCGTGGACAACTACATGTAGACATGTATCATGTATGGGGTGATTATTAAAATATGGGGTAGTTAGCTAGGGGTAATTTCCATTGGGTTTGGGAGGGATTGTTGGTTATCGGGGGAGATGGGAGGGTGGGGGGGGGGTGGATTCCAGGGGAGTTGTTTAGGATGGGTAGGTGGGGGATGTTGATTTATACCAATTATTATTACCCCAGGCTAGTTTCAAAGACACAGTTGTTGGGTATGATTGGTGACTGTTGTAGAGTGTTCCTTTCATCTTCGGGAGTACCCCATGAGGTTACGAACATCTGGTTCAATGTTCATTGTGCTTTCAAAACATGGTTCAAATTGATAGGGTTGATTGCGATGAATAGGATCCAAAATTCATAACATATTTTCACCCAAATGAATTTTTTTGTTGCTTTCATAGATGACCTGAAGTAAAGCAGATAAATTTGAAGGCTTCATGTCTAATAAAAGAAGATGTTTATTGGTTGATCGTGACTAGGTCTGGAGGTAAACCTTCCAAAGTAAACCCATATAACTTCAGAGTTTCCTTATTTTCTAAATACGATTTTCCTCCTCAAAGTGGTAACAATTAATGATATTTTCCACTCCTTCTTAGTTTGAAAAGAATCAAATGTATTGATTGAACAAATGCAAAAAGAAATTGTGAAATTTAACAAAAAAATTGCCAATATGTACACAAAATAAGTGATTGCATATTTTACTCTGCGATGCCAATTTAGAAGAAGCAGAAGAGGAAGAAGAAGGATAAGAAGAAAAACAAAATAAGATAAAGAAGGAGGGGAAGAAGGAAGAGGGGAAGAAGGAAGAGGAAAAGAAGGAGAAGAAGAAGAAGGAGAAAAAGGAGAGAGAGAGAGAGAGAGGAAAAAAACAAACAACAATAGCATTTTGTTTTGTTTTATGTGTAGCCCTATGTATTAAAATCTACGATTACAATTTCTTCCTAATCAGGCTTTAGCTAGTATGAGCCTCAACCCACCTCCAATCAAGGACTTTGATAAGGCCAGCTCCCGAGAGTTTGAGGCCATCAGCAAGCACCAAACGGCGCTCACCGCCGAAAGCGACTTCAAGCAGTTCGTCTACGGGAACGACGTCGACGCCGTGGACGTGGCGACCAGGGTAGCGATGGCCAAGTTCCTCAACGCTCCCGATGTGCTGGGGAACCTGACGGAACATACCAGGACCCTGAGGCTGTATCCTAGACCAGTGGTTGCATTCCAGGTCCAGACCTTCCTCTCCTCTAGACCAAACAGATCCCCCTTCACTGATCACCTAGCAAGCACACAGGTAATCCGCTCCTTCCAATTTCAATTTGACCTCTTTCTCTATAATAGACTATCAGCGTGTCCACACACAAAACAATTTATCTCAAAACTAGATAACGAAACGTCGTATAAAGAATCATCGTATAAATTTCAGAGTGTCCACACACAAGAAACGTCGTATAAATAATCATTGTATAAATTCAAGGATGTCCACACACAGAAGAAAGTAATCTTGAAACTCTACAGCGAAATGTCGTATAGGTGCGCAGTTTGCTACTGCGGTCATGAAATGGAAGCGGAAATGAGAGGTCAGGTCTCCTTTCGCGCGAGGTCTTGTTAAGCCCCGCCCAGTTAGTTACACTAGTTACACTAGTTACGTCCACACATAACACTTCCGTGATTAGGCGTGATTTGGCGTGATTCTTTATGGAGTTCTAGTTCGAAACGATGCCCAAACCCACGTTTCGTTAGACTACGTTTCGTTATACGACGTATCGTTAGTAAGCGTCCACACACAATTTCATCATATAACTATCGCGAAACGGTATAGCTAATCACGCCTAATCACAAAAAATGTTGTGTGTGGACAGGGGGTATATCATTTCAATATTGACAACCATCCACCACAAGTAAAAAAACAAACGTAATGCTTAATATGGATACAACAACAGTTTAAAGACCGTCAACACTAGTGGGCCAGGGGGATTAGACCACACAGCGAGGTCACTGACAGGTGGCTATCTCAACTCAGCTGGCTATCTCATTAACTCAGCTCTCAACTAACATAAGAAAAAGAGGATCATGGGGGACCAACAGGCACCGATTGGGGAACTTTTCTATATAGAGGGAGCAAGTAGCTACAAGTAAGCCAGTGGGGCTTTAAAGGTTCCCTTAAATGGATAGCAGTTTGCAGTTCCTCTTGATTAAGGTCAGTGATTTTTGCTCTTTCTGCCCGTGTACAATGTGTGATTCCTACAATCCTTGATCCAAAGATCGTCACTAAAAGGTGACAATAAATAGTTATGGGTTAAGAAACAAAATCAAAGAGCATCTTATGCTTTGATACGTGATGATTAAAGACACAAACAAATGTAATAAACCAGGGCTTGGTTAAAAGCAGCCAACTTATCTCAATATGAAATATAATTCAGACAAATTAAGGGTACAACTTTCACTAAATACACATTCACACACCCTATCCCAGACCCCTATCCCCATCACACTATGATGCAGTAGACCGCTTTGATTTATTTTAATCACCGTGTGGGCGTAAGATGCTTCACATGTTGTAACACACTGATAGCAAATACGGAAAAGACCTTTCATACTGTACAAAGTAGCTAATGTTTTTATCACCACTTGTCTATCACTTTCTGTTCTTCTCTACTGGGTGTGTCTGTGAGTGTTAGATAATGAACAAAGGGCTTGAAAGAAGATTAGAGGCTACAGAGACCTGGTTCTTCAGAAAGATTATGACTTTATCATGGACAGAAAAGATAGCAAATTAAGGATTGTTCAGAAAAGCAAGGACTAAACCATCACTCATTAACACAATAAGAAAGAGGCAAATGCAATATATTGGACTCATGTACAGAAGGATAATTTATGTTGGATAATGAACAAAGGGCTTGAAAGAAGATTAGAGGCTACAGAGACCTGGTTCTTCAGAAAGATTATGAATTTATCATGGACAGAAAAGATAGCAAAAGAAGAAGTGTTCAGAAAAGTAAGAGTTAAACCATCACTCATCAACACAAGAGAGAGGCAAATGCAATTCGTTGGTCACATTTACAGAAAGGGTATTTTAGAAACGACAATACTAACAGGGGAGATCGCTGGAAAGAGAAGCAGGGAAAGGCAAGGCCTCACCCATCTGCAATGCCTGAAGAAATTGGCAACCAAAAATGAAATCAGGATAACCAGCCTTTTAAAGGGATCGTGTAACTTCGTCTAAGATTCTGAAACAAAATCCTGGTTTTAGCTCATGCTGCAATGATAATTATAAACCTTTAGGTCAGTCAGGAACCTCATGACTTTTACAAGCCAATCGCCTGTCTGATTATCAATATATTTATGATTGGAAATCAAAATCAAATTTTGCGTTTTTCTAAGGGTTTTCATAACACTACAGTCTATTCGGAAAACTCAAAGATTGTTACTTTTTTGAGGCACTTCATGATCATTTTGAAGTGAAATCTTTTTTAGGGCTGCAATATTACACATGATAACACGTATGACCATGCATCCCAGATCTAACATTGCTAAACGATGCCTTTAAGAATAGAATATAATAGACAAAAATGCAGGGCCATGACGGCCGATGTCTGCAGACCTGGCACTTGATGATGATGGCTTTCACTAATACAGGAAATGCAATAGTTTCCCTGTGCCACTTGTGAATAAGCCATGTCCACCTTGCCCTTTACAATGAACTAATCCTCCCATTGAATCTCACTGACCTGGGCATGGGGACCTATGAATAGATCTATTATCTGCTATTAGCTGAAACGGATGGCTCAAGACCGAGGTACTTGATGTAGAATTCTGATTGGGTCACTGAACCTGTTATAAAACTGATAGATCACAATTGATGATGGCTATGAAAAGGGGCATGAGCCGTGAAAAGTCGGCTGAGTTGTAGAACAAAGGAACCAGTGACGTTTCCAATTTGGTGAATGTTACGCAGAGTTGCCTTGTCAGAAATCAAGGTCTAAAATATTGAAATCCTTACAGTGCTGTGATTCTTGCAAAAACTGCTTACCGTAACCCACAGCAGTTAAGTGTCACCTTTTAAAAACATTTTACTTTAAAGATAAAGACCAGTTATGGTCATGCAATTGCATTGTGAAAGAAATGTTGTGGAATCGATCAGAAAAGGTTAATCATCTAGCATATAAGTATTGCTGTGTACTGCAAGGTTCTGGAATCATCAAAATGATAAGAAATTTGGCCCAGTCTTCGTAAAGTTACAAGCACTGTACCAGAAAGATGTATATGGGACTACGCACACGTGCGCGACACGTGCGTTTATCTCTCACACACCAATAGATAAACTAATTTACCAAATATATCAATTAGTAGGCGGTTTCCCCGGCAAATTTTTTATCATCATGTATTAGTCAAAAGTCAAAACATATTCTTTCACATGATTGGTAATAAGAGCATCCATTTCATTTTTTTGAAATTGGGGCTTTTCCAATACTGGTCTTTACCTTTAATCTTTTGATGCAGAATGCACTTACGGTAATTACAAAATGGTACATGATCGGAAATTGCAAAATTCACTGGAAAATTTAAGTCCACTTCTGTTGTTACACATTGTGCCATTCATGAATAAGAGTGATTTAGTTGAAAATGATCTTTAGATAGATAGATAGATAAATGGTTTATTCAAATCAAATCAAACATGTAAACAATAAATGTTCATTAATTCCATGCTTCGTAGCTAAAAACTAAATTGCGCAATGGATTACAGAATTAATTATTACAAGGTAAAATTGCACTTACTAATAATAAACTACTATAGATAATAATGCAACTCTTGGCACCGGCGTCGAACCGCTGCGCCACCCCAGTCACCAGTGGGGCACGAAACAGTAAGATCATATACCCCCCTGATGAATAGCACGACGCAACGGATCAACACCCATGCATACAATATACAGCACAATTCACAGTGAAATAATGAATACAAAAGGACAGGTATGGCGGAGGAGAGAAAGAAAGGGGGAGGGAGTATAAGAAAATGATAACTTTTACATGATTAAAACATTACATACTTAACAAGAAATACATGCGTAATACTGTACATGGCAATTAACTGGTTTAGAACATTTCAACTCTGAAAATAGTAGTGTTGCGTGTGGAAAATGAAGTCCGAACTTATGATAACTATTTTTGTGTACAAATTTGCAATTTCTTGTTGATTTATTTAGTAACTTTCATTCGCATTGTTTCATTTGGTATACATTTTTAATTCTTTTAAGCCCCGAAAGAGTGGGAAATACAAGAATGCTGGTATTCATTATTTTAGTCGTTTAGAAAATTCTTAACTGCTTTGGGTTTATGATTAGAATGTCAATGTGTTAAGAATATGTATGGCTATGTGTTTCTTATGAAATGGAAATAGTTGGCTTCCTCATGATGTTTATTCCTATGGAAGATATTGGCACCCTAGCTACCAGCAAAACTAGGCAATATAAATCTTGAAATCTTGAACTTAAAAATTTAATTATGATAATTATTGAAAAAAACATGGTGGCACATGCTTGTGCAGGTCTGTGGACAAAGGGGAGCTTCACTCAGGCAGATCAGCTAAGGAATAGGGCTATAGTTATTTCATTTTCATGTTGTGTCTTGTGATGTACATGTACGTGTATTACATTCTGTCATACTTTCATAGAACAATTTAATATTATATTATAATCATTTAGTAATGAAATTGTAAATGTGTACAACAGCATTATTGTATATTTTAGACTAACGACACATATTTTGTACTTTTGTATGTCAATGTTCTGACAAATAAAACCTTTCAAGAAATAATGAAATAAAACGGCTAGATTCATATTGCTTTGTTTAATTTTATTGCAGGCTATTGAATACTTTGGGGAGTGCAGTCTAAACCCCTTGAATGTGACATTCCTGAGAATACAGACTGGAGTCTACGACCCTCATCTCATTGGAGACAAGTCTAAATGGTTCAGGGAGCAGCTCCAACCAATAGAATTCAAGGTCAGTGTATAGTATTCTACTATTACATGCTTAGGAGTGAGATAGTAAAATAAGATAGTAAAATGAGACTGTAAAATAAAATAGAAAGAATACAGACTGGAGTCTACGACCCTCATCTCATTGGAGACAAGTCTAAATGGTTCAGGGAGCAAATCCAACCAATAGAATTCAAGGTCATTGTATAGTACAACTATTACATGCTTAGGAGTGAGATAGTAAAATAAGATAGTAAAATGAAATAGACAGTATAGAAGCTGGAGTAACCCTTATTTCGTTTGGAGACGAAATGTAAAGCACATTGGAATGTCAACAGATTTGAAATGCGCTATAAAAGAACAAATTATTATTATTATTATTATAATAGTTCAGCCAATACAATGCAAGGTATTAAAGGTAATATTTATTATTATCTATATAAGGCTTCCAAGTAGTAAAATAAATCAATGCCTTTAATATCTTTAGCGCAGTACCCGAATGACTGATCAATATTGTTTTCGTATTGCTCAGTCATCCGGAGACTTCAACTATCGATATCGATATCGATATCACATATCACATGAAAACAAAGCCATATTTACCGAGGTAAGTCAAATTTTGTTATTTCGCTAGTCGTGCTGACAAAAAAAATACGGTTTCGCTAGTCAGCCCGATATAGATAATAATCATAATATTGTATGGCTTTGTTTTTGTGTGATATAAGAAAATATGGCTCTCGCACTAATCACACTAAAATCCATCCAATATGTAGAAGTGTTGTAGTCGAGTGGTTTAAGCACTTGACTTTAAAATTCAAAGGTTGTGGTTCGATCCCCGACACGGCACTAATATCCTTTGGCAAGGCATTGATCTACATTTGCCACACTCAACCCAGTTGATGTTAACATGTACCTGGCAGGAATTAATTTCTTGAAATGCTGGAGCGCTGTAATGGCAGCTAGGCTAAAGCCGGGGTAATAATAAATGAATAAAGGAATAGAATTTTTAGATAGACGGTGCTCTAGAAATGCCTATTATTATTATTATTATAAATACTATATAAGTTTTCAACTGTGAAAAACCATTTGTAATCGTCGCTATCTAAACCCACAGGTTCAGTTTGAGAACTGCACCCTGGGCGCGGCCCTCTCCAGCGCCTCCGAGGGTGGTTCCGACTCGTCTAACCCTACGGATGAGAGTGGGGAGGAGAGCGAGAGGGAGGATGGAGGAGGGAGCTCATCGTCTTCATACTCCTCCTTGGATGAGTTTGTGGTAGACATGATGAATAGCGATATCAAGGGGGACGTGCAGGGTAAGTCTGTTTATATCTTCGGATAATAAAAATGGCCACTTGAATGTGGCGATATGGCCTTTGCTCTGGTGCTAATCGCTTCATGATTTTTTCCCCATCAAAATTAATGGGTTAGGATGCAGTGCAGGTTAGTTTTAGGTTAGGTTTAGAGTTAGATGCATTTGGGTTTTAGGTTAGATTTAGGTTTGAGGTTAGCTTTAGGTTTAGGATTAGGGTTACGTTTAGGTGTGGTGTTAGGTGTAGTGTTTGGTCCAGGGATGAATAGTGATATCAAGGGGGACGTGCAGGGTGAATCCGTTTATATCTTTGGACGCTAAAAATGGCCGTTTGCATGTGCTCTGGTGCAAATTGCTCCATGATTTTTTCCCCATCAAAATTAATGGATTAGGATGCAGTGCAGGTTTGTTTTCGGTTAGGTTTAGAGTTAGGTGCATTTGGATTTTAGGTTAGCTTTAGGTTTAAGGTTAGCTTTAGGTTTAGGATTAGGGTTACGGTTAGGTGTGGTGTTAGTGTTAAGTGTAGTGTTGGATCCAGGGTTGAAGTGGGAAATTCAGTCATTGAAGAAAGTTGGTTATAGATTAGTTGTCGCAGGAGAATGTGCTAGACAAATTATCTATGCAAACGTTGTGCTGATTTCAAAACTGGTTTCAGGTTAGGTTAGGTTAGGTTTAGAGTTAGGTGCATTTGGGTTTTAGATTAGCTTTAGGTTTAGGTTTTAGGCTAGTTTTAGGTTTAGGTTTAGGGTAAGGTGTAGTGTTAGTGTTACATGTAGGTGTAGTGTTGGATCAAGGGTTGAAGTGGGAAATTCAGTCATTGAAGGAAGTTGATCATGGATTAGTTGTCGCAGGAGAATGTGCTAAACAAATTATCTGGTGCCAAACGCTGTGCTGATTTCCAAACCGATTTCAGGTTAGGTTTAGAGTTAGGTGCATTTGGGTTTTAGGTTAGCTTTAGGTTTCAGGGTAGCTTTACGTTTAGGTCTAGGGTAAGGCGTCATGTAAGTGTTAGGGGTACTGTTTGGTCTAAGGTTGAAGATGGAAATTTGGTCATTGAAGGAAGTTGATCATGGAGCAATTGACACATAAAAATACATGATACTAACTTTTATCTAGATGTCAAACGCTGAGCCGATTTCCCGTACTACTGTTACAGAATCTGTCATCTTAGGAACATATCACAGTGGACTTACACTGGGTACATGGTTATCCCTATTTCCCAAGTGCTGAAATATCCTCAATTCCACATGATTGTTATTTTTATTATAATTATTCAAATGTAGAATATCTTAGCTGTGTTTTTGTTGTTGCCATGATCCATGTATGTCATTGCCTAGATCCTATATATCATCATGGATAATAATTATTTCTATCATGCCTAGATCCTGACAAACCAGACCAGTTCAGTGAGATAGATGAACACTCCATCTACCAGCCACCAGACACGCTACAGCTCCCCCCAGACATGGTTCAGAGTGATAACAACCAGTTTGCAGATAGCGATTCATCCAGTAGCCAGGACAACCCAACGTCACCTGATGTGAGTATGAGCACACCCATAGATAAATAGATGGCTTTGTTCATATAAAGCCTTTCACACACCACGCTTTACATACTCTATATGAACTTTTCAACATGATGTGAGTTTAAACACACCAAGGACAATTAGATGGCTTTGTTCACATAAAGCCTTTCACATACTACACTTTATATACTTTATATGAACTTTTAAACATATAAAATTGTAATAATCGCGGATGTGTTTGCTGATAGCGATTCATCCAGTAGCCTGGACAACCCAACGTCACCTGATGTGAGTATGAGCACATCCAGGATAAATAGATGGCTTTGTTCATATAAAGCCTTTCACACACCACGTTTTATATACTTTATACAGTCAAACCTGCTTTAGTGACCACCTGTCTACAACAAGCGCATTTTTTGTTTCCCTTGAAAATGGTTTCTCATTGAAACATGTACTAAAGGAACCTGTCTACCAAGACCAATTTTTGTGTTTCCCTTGGGCAGTCGCTGTAGACAGGTTTGACTGTATGAACTTTTAAAGATATCAAATCTTGATTATCGTGGATATGAATAGTAGCAAGATGTGAGTATGAACACACATGAATAGATAGCTATGTTCACATAAAGCCTTTCACACACTACACTTAATATACTTTATATGAACCTTTAAACATGTAAAATCTTGATAATCACGGATATGAATACTAGCAAGATGAATCAGTGATTATATAGAATAGATATTTGGATTTGTAATTATTCTAAAGTTTATAAATTTTCTAGTGAAAAATGTAATTAAGGACTATATGCTATATTGATGTATCTCTACCTAAAATATATCATTTGAGCGTGTTTTGTGAAATTTTCATAATTATCTATATTTTATCATTATTATAAACTATATTAGATTTGGAGACTCACTTTCGTATTACAGCTGTATTAGTCCACTTTACATTTGCAGTGTTACATGTATCTTATAGACCTTATAACGTCATTTGCCTTAAGTTGATTAATCAAGATATATTTTTATATTTTGATGCACACTCTCTTTGTTATTCACTTTATCTGGCGATCAATCGTCAACATCATGTGACCTATCCCACAATGCATTTGTGCAGTCATCGGACGAGGAGTTGCCTCTTAGTGTTCGGGTACAAACAATTTCAAACTGTTTGTCGTGTTTTTGTTGAATGTCGTATGAAGTAAAAACCTGCCTGCTCTTTCTTTTTGTGTTCTTAATAAATCATAGTCAAATAGACCAGTTCATTACAGTGCATTCTACTTTTAACCCCAAATATCCATAGATCTTTTATACAAGGAGAAATCAGTTATTTACATATCTCGGAACTGTTTCTTAAAGGTACTATGTTCCTTTTGCAGCCAACCTCAAATTCTGTAGAACTTTGCAGGAATTATGAATATGTCATGTATGTCCTATCTGTGAAATTTAAACGTTAGCAGTGTCCTCATATTCAAATTATGCAAGGAAACTTGTTTACTTGCTAGACTTCACTGTCAGACACTATTGAGTGACTGACTGGCTTTTTCTTCTTCTTTGGTAATAACATACATGAAAAGAGTTGTAAAGGGTACATGAGCATTTGTCTACATCAATAACCCACTTCTTGTGATGGCCAAGATTAAACTGATTGAATCTTTGCGCAGCATAAAACGTATGACCATTCGGTACAATTGTCTGAAAATCAAGACTATTACTTTTGGGCTCTATGGCCCTAAAGTCGATTTGACAACTAATAGTCAATATTTTCCCACTTGAAGACATTTTCAAGCCCTACCTTTTTTAGGGAAGTTCTAAATAAGTATTATCTTTCAAATGCAGTTGGAATTTAACTTTTTCATTTTTTTGGCCTGCAAATGGGACATAGTACCTTTAAAACACATTTACTATTAAAAAAACAAGTGAATCATATTCAGTCAATCATGTTCAGTGATTTCAGTACTGTATATCAATTTTGTGTTACTTCTCATTTTATAACAAGTTTTATGAAAGGAGGCCCTTGGTAGAGTCTAGCCCTGAGAGATCATTGTGTTTGTGTCCTTGTCTTAGGACTTTTCCTGACCCATTCCTTTGGTATTTATTATTTAAAAACAAATACTTTCATTTTGTCTCTTGTGTGAATTAAACAGACTCTTGACCACATCTCATTGCTTTACATACATTATGTACATAACATCATAATGCTTAGTCTAGTTTCCCAGCATTATTTCCTATTTCATGCAAAGAAAGTAACACCTTTCAAGATAGTGTAATCCTACATCTACATTCATAAACATAGATATTTTTTTTAAAGCGAACTCATTCATGAACTGTGTTGTTTCCCCCTTATCCATCGGGGTGGTGTTTCACGAAGCTGTCGTAAGTACAAGTTTGCTGACTACCCATTGAATCGTGTGTATTGAATTTAACACGCATTTCAATGGGATGTCAGCAAACTTGTACTTCGGAGGGTTTTGTGAAACAACGCCCAGATTTTGAGAAGAAGATCCGTTAACAGTGTCTGAAAACTTGGCAACTTGTTGGACCTACATTTTGTTCAATTAAACAAAGAAGAATAGTTTCGGTCTTCTGCAGCAAATTAAAGACAATCATATAAATACTACATGTACGTTCTTTATTTCGTATTCTAATAGCTTCCCGAATATAGTTTGGTGCTACATGTAACATGTCTGACATCTTGCATTCATTTCATACAGTTATCATCGTGTGCATGCAATATTTACAGTATACCTTGTAGCTTATTAGTTTCATTATCTGTAGTCATTGTTTGCTGTGAAAGATTAGTTTATCATTTGTAAATATTTGAAGTGTTCATTATCACGTTTTGTCATTTGGATATAATTTCAGTATTGATGTATGTGTACGTACGTGTATTGCATGTTTGTACTAGCAAATATTTCGAAAATCTACAGTCATAGAAAAATTCAAAGAGTGAGTTCATATACATGTATTAAAGATAAACTTGAGTTCTGGTAAAAAAAGAAAATGAATTCTCACAGAATTTAATGAAACTTACACTGAATGTTCAAGATTACAAATAAATGTCATGTGCCAAACAACTTTGAAAGAAAATGTATACTGGCTGAGTAATGAGCATAGAAAGACAAGGAAATCAGGGTAGTACTAGCCCCGACACCATGTGTGTTGTCCCATATACATCTTTCTATGTAAGTGATTGTTACTTTACCAAGACTCTGCCAAATTTATGATGATTTTGATGACTCCAGAACCTTGCATTACACACCACTACTAATACATGCTATATGATCAACTTTTCTGATCCATTCCACACCTTTTCTTTCACAATGCAATCGCATTACCAGAACTCAAGTTTATCTTTAATTAAAGTGATAATAATTGAGGTAGATAAACATGTATTTGTTCTACATATACCTCTTGTAGGAAAGGAGAAGTATACACCATCAACTATTTGTTGTGTTTAAAAAAAAAACAATATCCTGAGTTTGTTTGAAAGATATGATCATCACTCTATTACCTAATGTAGCTAGTTAAACACAAAAGCTTTCATCGAACCCTGATACATATACATTTCTCTTACAGTCTCACAGCCAAAACAACTCAACGACGACCTCAAATTGACCCAATTTTGTGCTACATGTATTTGGGCTAATTTTGATCGGTCAGTTGTTGGTCACGTAATCAAGCTTTAAAAAAGTACAAAAGTACAACTTGATGAAACATGTTTGAATTATGGTCTATTTCTCTCACTGCTAATATTTATTCAAATGATATTTCATAGGATATGCATCTGGCTCCTGAATTCAGGCAGGTCAGTTTTTCTGTGTCAACGAAAGTTGAAAAATGATATAAAATTTGAAATGTTTGATTTCTTATGCTTGCTGCAGCCAGCACTTTTGTCTTGACTTTAGCTGTACAAACACCTCATTTTCGTTGCAAGTGTCAAAACATCAATAGCGGGCAGGGGGAATAAAGGGTTGCAGGGCCCTCAGGGTGAAAAGTATAAATACTGATGATACTACCTTTGAGAAACAAGACATATTATTATTGTTTTGCTCTCGTCGTTGCTGTTAGTTGTGTTATTAAATTATTCTTATCTTTATTTTTATATGAACAGATGCGCATTGCCCAGAACATGTCAATGTCCGGCATAGACACCGATCAAGACTTGGACAGCAGCGTCTACGACTCCGACAATCAGCATCGGAGAGACTCTAATGATCTAGACTCCGAGATGGGTTCTAGAGGGGGGCGTGGGTCGCCAACGTTTATGGACAAGGTCAATGCACTTTTCAGGTTAGTAGGACAAGTTCAGTTCACTTTTCAGGTTGGTGAGGTAAAGTAAATGCACTTTTTAAGTTAGTAGAACTCTAATGATTTAGACTCCGAGATGGGTTCTAGGGGGAAGGGGGGGGGGGGGGGGGGGGGGCTCGCCAACATTTATGGACAAGGTCAATGCACTTTTCAGGTTAGTGTTACTTGAGAGCTGATTTGATGAGATAACCACCAGTCAGTGACCTTAAAAGTGGGTCTAATCCCCCTGGCCAAACTAGTACAGACTACTCTTTACTAGTATGGTCTACCCATAACACTTCTCAAATGATTTGGAGTCTGCCTTTTTTATCTGTTGCTCCACATAAGTGGAACTGATTCCCTTCCTCTCTTTGTGAGATTGACCATCTAGAAAACTCCAAGTCATGCCTCAAACTTGCCTTTTTCAGAAAATGAGTCGATACAGGCTTCTTTACCGGAGCCCAAACCATTGAATGTGTTTTTTTTAAACAGAAGTATCTCATCTTTAGAATACAGAGCATCATAAACTCGTCTTTCTCTTTGATTTGATAAAAGCAATTTTTAAACCCTCTGTTGAGTGAGTGTTAGCTTGTATGTCTTGCTTGACACATACAGGTCCTATTCCTCAGACACGTCTGCCCAGACCTTGATTCATAAAAACTTTTTTAAAACCTGTTGACTAAAGTGTTAACTTGTATACGTATTTAGTGTTTATTGTCCATTTCTGGATATTTGATTTTCACTGGTGTATTATATACAGATTAACATTTACTAATGAATTTACAAAAATTCTAGACATTAACAGTAAATAAACAAGGTTTAACATATGATTAAGCACAATTAGACAGAAGGTCTAATGTTGTGTGATAAACACAAATTCAGGACAATAGTAAACACAGTAATTAAAACAAAGCAAGAGCAGATGTCAGGTGATCAAACGAATGAACAAGTGAAAGAGATATACTGAGGAGGTCCGGTACTTATACATGTATTGACGTCTTAAACAAATTTTGGGAATTATTAATTGTAGATAATATTAAAGAACAACACTGGGTCTTCAAGACATTCATTCTGTCTTGTCTTGCTTGATCTATGCAGGTCGGATTCCTCAGACTCGTCAGCCCCGACCACCCCGACCAAGACCAAACCCAAACCCTCCATCCTGAGAGGCATCATGGACCTGGCCCTGGAGACGGCTAAGGAACCCATTGGGTCTCCAACCTCCCTGAGCAGCATGGATCCCAACGGCTACGCCGCCAGCGTCAAATCAGATCCTGGTCCTAATAGGAGTAGGATGGGGTCCGGGATGGGACTGCCTACCAGGAAGAAGAAGACGTCATCACCACTCACCAGAGGTTTGTTACCTGTTGATATATGAAAATTTCAGGTGTGGTGGTGGCGATGTTGATAATGATGGTAATGATGATGATAGTGATGATAATGAAGATGATGATGATGATGATGATGATGATGATGATGATGATGATGATGATGATGAGGATAAGAAGAATGATGATGATGATGATGATGATGATGATGACGAGGATAAGAAGAATGATGACGCAACCCTTTGAAGTAAAGTATGATGCCCTAGTGCAAGGTTTCGTATCTGTCCAAAAAATCAGCTTGCGTCAGAAAACTGTCTTATTGGAAACAATTGAGTGTATAAATATTTATTTGACATCTCTGGGGGCAGCGGTTATTATCGGTTGGTACCCATTGTTCACTGCTGACTATGGGATGAATTGAACTCAAGGGATTGGGTAACTTTGTCTCAGATTCTGAAACAAAATCCTAAAACTGTTTTCCTAACAGTTTTTATAACACTATAGTCTATTAGAGAAAATGAGTATGGTAAAACCGGTCACTCAAAGATTTTAACTTTTGTGAGGCACTTCATGATCATTTTGAAGCGCAATTTTGTTTAGGGCTTCAATATCACACCATATCACAGACACTGATAACACGTAGGGCCATGCATCTCAGATTTAACATTGTTAAACGATGCCTTTACACAAGCAGTTGGCAGTATTGGCGGTCATTGAATAATGCATCGTGATCATGGTGCTTTGCCAAATAGATGAAAGTCCATCTCTTGTTCTCTTTCCTCCAGATACAAGAAGGTCACTCGTGGAGAGGTCATCACTAATCAGACATCACTCAACCAAGAAACCTGAGAAACGCTCTTCACTTACAAGTGAAAGACCCAACAGGTCAGTATCACCCTCTTAAAATAATTAACCTGTTATTGGCCTGCGCATTCATTAAAAGTTATCGTAAATGAACATCGCAAGTGAAATTTTGACTTAAAATGCTTTGATTTGTTCATGAATTCAGCATGGAATATCTCCCATGGGTATAGATATGATGAAGGCAACAGTTAACTGTTTGTGTCTGTCACAGGCTAACTTTGCAAAGTCTGAAGAATAAGAATCTGCATGTCTTCTTTAAAAGTACCATGTCCCATTTGCAGGCCAAAAAAAAGAAAAGGTTAAATTTAAACGGCATTTGAAAGACATTTAGAACTTCCCTCAAAGCAAAAGGGACATAGTATCTTTAATACTTTGATATCTGTGTAGATAATATTGTCCATGAATCTGTGAAATCATGATTTGTTTTTTTGAATCCCTTTTATTCTAGCGAGGACCAGCTTTTCTTGAAAGAGATCGTCAGGGGAGTATTAGAAGGGAACAATGTCGGCTGGCTGAACTGGTCACGTCTCAAACGCCTCATGCAGAACGAGAACATGAGAGCACAAGTCATCAGTCAGCTGTATCCACAAGACACTGCTGTGACGGGAGACTACATTGAAGATGTGGTGAGTATTGGTCAGTTATGCAATGAGTAAGCATCTAGGGGACCTATGGCTTTGATTCCTATCAAAGGGGCTGAACTAGAGTCCAGTATCTTGCAGAACAATAATCTAATCGCTCAGGTAATCAGTCAGCTGTACCCCGAAGACACTGCTGTGACGAGAGACTACATTGAAGATGTGGTGAGTATTGGTCGGTTATGCAATGAGTAAGCATCTAGGGGACCTATGGCTTTGATTCCTATGAGAAGGACTCACCTGGTCATGTCAAATGCCTCCTGTTGAGTGAGAACTTGAGAGCTTTAAGTCAGCGGTCATCTGACCCTAGAGGACACTGCTGTTACAGGAGACTGTGTTAAAGGCAAACAGCTACAGGACCTATGACTTGGGTTCCGTCAGAGGAACTCACCAGGTCAAACATGTTGTATGTCATCAAAAGTAGTAGTTATACAGTCTGTTCGAGCAGAAGGGGGTGTTGAAGTGAATGATTTAATGCCTACAGGCTACAAGCAGATGATATATCTATTATAGCTGGTAAAGTTACTTTAAAACCCTTAGAAAACACAATTTTGTTGATTTGTTTGAAATCTTCTTTATAAATATGTAGAAAGTGAACAAAGCGATTTACAAGGGCTTATGCTCTTGCGCTTAGTCTACAAGCAGATGATATATCTCTTGCATCTAGTATAGTGACTCTCAAACCCCCAGAAGAATATAATTTTGTTGATTTGTATGAAATCTCTCTTTATATGTAGAAAGTGAACAAAGCGGTTTACAAGGGCTTATGCTCCGTGCTAAAGGCCGTCCTGGCTGGCCTGGAGTATTCCTTTGAACACCACAGCGCCGGGGGCATGGCCAGTGCCTTCGCACTACTGGAGATTGCCAGCACGCACTACTTCGGCAAGGAGCCCGAGCTGACGCAGAAAGGAGACGGGCGTCACCGCGGAGGCAGCCTGAAGACCGGAGGAGCTTCTCATGGTCAGTATGCCCTGGATGAGTTGTTGTCACAGCAACAGGGAGGGCATCATCATCCTCATCTTAGTGGAGGTGGTGGTAGTGGTGGTGGTGGGATGCTAACCATTGCTTCCAGACCCTCTGAGTCTCACAGCTTGAATGAGGATAACTTCATAGCCGCCATAGGTGAGATGGGATTACTAACCTGGGATCCGTTTCACGAAGCCTTTTTTCAATGACAAATGACAAATCTGTAGATATCAATCAGAAAAAAGGATTTCAGTAGCTTATAACAAAAACTGTCATTTGTCACTGATGACAAGTTTTGTGAAATGCCCCCCTGGGCCCCGTCTTACAAAGAGTTGCGATTGATCCAAATCAATGGCAAGTTTGCAGTCTCCTATCTCTTTTCTACATAGTTGCGATTTAACTCTTTGTAAGACAGGGCCCTATAGACATCAATGTGGGACATTGCAGTACCCCAGCCAAGCGAAAGACATCTTCTTGTGCAGTGATTGCCAGTACCAAGCGGAAAATGTCCTAACATGCACTTTTCACAAAACATCCTTACTCCCAGCGATCGCCATTATGTTATCCCCCTCCCCCGCCAAGCGCAAAACATCCTTACTCCCAGCGATCACCTTTACATTATCCCCCTTCCCCCGCCAAGCGCAAAACATCCTTACTCCCAGCGATCACCTTTACATTATCCCCCTTCCCTCGCCAAGCGCAAAACATCCTTACTCCCAGCGATCACCTTTACATTATCCCCCTTCCCCCGCCAAGCGCAAAACATCCTTACTCCCAGCGATCACCTTTACATTATCCCCCTTCCCCTGCCAAGCGCAAAACATCCTTACTCCCAGCGATCATCTTTACATTATCCCCCTTCCCCCGCCAAGCGCAAAACATCCTTACTCCCAGCGATCACCTTTACATTATCCCCCTTCCCCTGCCAAGCGCAAAACATCCTTACTCCCAGCGATCATCTTTACATTATCCCCCTTCCCCCGCCAAGCGCAAAACATCCTTACTCCCAGCGATCATCTTTACATTATCCCCCTTCCCCCGCCAAGCGCAAAACATCCTTACTCCCAGCGATCATCTTTACATTATCCCCTTCCCCCGCCAAGCGCAAAACATCCTTACTCCCAGCGATCATCTTTACATTATCCCCTTCCCCCGCCAAGCGCAAAACATAGAATTTGACAATAGATTGTTTGTCCTTCTGCTGCCCTTGCTAGTGCAGCGTCACACTAAAGAAACAATGTGCCACGATCATGTTTGCGAAAGCAAGCACGCAGTGGTGTGTTGTGTTTGGCTGGGGTATTGTAAATGTTATTACCTTGCATATTGTCATCGGATGTGGGTTACACACATACCCCCTTAGATACTCCACATAGTCTATCTCAACCAAGATCAATATATTTACTAACAGTTTTCTGTTCATTTGTATGTAGGACATTTTGTTAAACCATAGAAATCATGATCTGTAAGAAAAGCTAACTATTCCGTTTAATTAATTACTGATTACAATGTATTCTACTGTTTCAGTTAAACCAAACCCGTGTCTGAAATCACATAAACCTTAGACTAGCTTCCTTTGTTAAACCAGATTGTAAGACAAAAGCCTAAACCCAACGTCAGGTTCAAATTTGAGTAGAATATGGGTCATTAATTTTTTACTAAACAAAATAATTTGTTTCTCCTTGAAATAAAAACAGTTAGAGCTCTTTTAACTCTCTATACATCTTGCGTGGAGTTAAAATATAAAAGCTATAATAAGATGAAGAATAGCTCTGTTATCTCTCAATAAAGTCTGAGTGATGTTTTTATTAATATAAATCTATCTTTATGCATTACGGTAGCTCTTTTCACTCATTAATCCTCTAAAGTTTATACAAGATTTACAAAGTGTACTCAATCTGCCTGTTCTTCGAAACTAAATTTGATTTGCTTGCCAGCATGTGTTCTATACATATCAAAGAAAATTTGAATGCAAACTCAACAAGAAGCTAATGAAATTAGTTTTCTTCACTATACACATGTTAACATGCCTGAAACTGAATCTATCTGCAGCTACAGTGTGTGCAAGAAACAATTGTTCAATATAAGCTTACGATCAATTGAAAACACTGGATGTTTCTCTCTCCAAAACTCTCTATTATTGAAGTATACGATGAAATGCTTTGCATGCTAGCTCAAGAAAGAGAGTATATCATATATATACACACATAGTACAGTTTATACACAAGATACAGATATTTTTTGTGAACTTATAAATGAAAGTTGGACTTGTTAATTCAAGGCCTTTGTTGAATATGTTTAGATGTCACATTCTCAAGGAACATAAATTGGGACAAATTGATTTTTAACATACTTAAAAATTACAGAACTTGTTAATGGTATGAATAATTTAGTGGTTTACTCTATCTGGGGGGTGTTTCACAAAGACTAAGATCGACTTTAAGTTGGACCTAACTATGGCAGACCATTCATGCCACTAGTTGCTCTCACTATTGGTCTCTCAATTAGGATCTTTAGTTCATTTTTTTTCCCTTCAATAATGTACTATCAAAAAAGGTAAATTCTGTAGATTTGTGACCACGATTTGTACGTCCCTTGGGAAACCAATGCCAGGAATGGTTAGATGAACTAGTGGCATGAATGGCCTACCATAGTTAAGTCCAACTTAAAGTCAATTTAGTCTTTGTGAAACACCCCCTTGTAGTTAATGTAATGTAAGAGCTCTTTTCTATGATGAAATCTATGAATATTAACCTTTTTTTCTGGCTCCTCTCGCTGCTTTTCTTCTTGATTCTTCTCTTCTCAACAAATTGCTAACACACAGAGAGTAAGACAATGCCACTTTTATTATTTTGTTTTCTTCCGCTTGCATGCATGTCTCTATGTGTATCATTGTGGGCATGTTGCATACCACAACACAACTTGCATGTGAAGCCTGTTGCATCGTGTACTATTTGTTGCCGTGTTCTCATATGTTAACTCCCTCATGTACGTACCAATCACGAGTGCTGGGAACTTGTCTTCATCTCTGTAAACAGAATTCCATTTTTGAGCCTCCCTTCACCTCTGACTGAAGCCCCAGTCTGCCCATTGTTTGGAGTATATACATGTTCATTGTATTTGTGATAAAACTAAATATAGCAGCCCATCGTTTGTTCCATTTGTCTACCAAAGCAGGCAAAAAGTTAAGAGAAGCAGCTAAAAGTAATCTTTGAATTGTCGTCATGCAGTTGATGGGATGATTTGGACTATCAGAATTTCAAATATTTACAAAAGCGATGTGCCATACACATTCATTGTATTTGTGATAAAACTAAAACTAGCAGTCCATCGCTTGTTCCATTTGTCTACCAAAGCAGGCAAAAAGTTATTAGAGAAACAGCTTAAAATAATTTGAATTTTTGTCATGCAGGTAATGGGTGGTTTGGACAAATCAATAAAAAATGGTTTTTTAATTACATTTACTGAAAATCATTACTCCCTTTATGCTGATAAGTTTAGAACTATTCGCTTATTTCCCTTGCTCATCGCTAATTTGAATTTTTGTGCAATCTTTGCCAAGATCACTGTGTAGACATTTGTTTGTATTCTTGGACATTTATTGTTAGTTTCGTTTGATTCTGTGGGAACCCATTTTCCGTCATTTGAGATTTGAGATGTGAGAACTTGAGATTTCCCTTAGCAACATCTTCACCTGTGTTCGGGAAGGGGGGGGGGGGGGTCACTATTGCATGAAGCTTGCATTTGTCATGAAATCTTAAGCCAATCATGATCCACTTAATGCTTTAGCTTGATGAACGCTGAATTCTGATTGGTTATATTCCACAGGGAGGAGTCGCTCATGCACAAAACTTTCATCCATCCTGAGTTCATTAGACTATCATGATCAGCTTCATAATGAATGTTGAGCTTGATGAAAGCTCAATTCTAATTTTTTATTATCCACTATTCATACATTTACGACTTAATGTAATAATTTGTCAGTAAGTTAGTGATAATTATGAAAGGCTTGTTAACCCGGTCATGGTACATCATAGCAATTTTTGTTCTATAAATGATGTATGTGTAAAATGTTCCACGTTTCTGTATCTTATGACGACAAATGTGGAAAATACATGTACAACTTTTGTTACGCTCATCCACATTTCTTCCACACTCATTTATTTGGAAGTACCCCCCCCCCCAAAAAAAAAAAAAACAACAACAACCACCATGATTTGAACATGTCTTGTGTGATGAACCCATGAGGTTACCCTGTAGTTCAGTTAAGCTACATGTACATGTACAGTCTAACCTGCTTTAGTGACCACCTGTATAGAAAGACCACCTAACTACAAAGACCACATTTTTTGTTTCCCTTGAAAATGGTTTATCATTGAAACATGTTCTAAAGGAAACTGTCTACAAAGACCACCTGTCTATAAAGACCACTTTTTGTGTTTCCCTTGGGCGGTCTTTATTGACAGGTTTCACTGTACCTCGTATATGGAGAAAAAACAAAAACAAAACAAAACCCCACCATGCTTCTAACATGTCATGTGTGATCAAGTCATAATATAACAGCCTTTTCACACACAGCTAAAATTCATCGTATCTAGAGATGATTAGAATCACTCAACAGTTTTAAACATGTTTATAGACAAAATTTCCCAGTGTGAACATCGTTTATACGATGTTGGGATAGATACGAAGTCGCGATCCATACGCCCCTAAAAGCAGGCTGCAGATACGAAGTTCGTATCTAGAGAGCTTGACATTTTGTGTGTGAAAGGAAATTCGTGTTTAAACGTGTTTAAACTGGATGGAGCGTGCGCTTTGATTGATATGACATGACCTTCAATGCGCAATGGCACTACTGCGCATTTTACGAGCAGTAGTTAATCACGAAACTATGAACGATCGCAACGAAATTTCTGTGTGTGAAAGGCTTGTGATTAGTTTAAACACGTTTCAAACACGTTTATACTAATCATGTTTATAGAATTTTAGCTGTGTGTGAAAAGGCTGTAAGTCTGTAGTTCAGTTGAGCTACATGTACATGTATTTGATGAAGTGTGGCCCCTCCCTACTTGGGTAGATAGAAAGTGAACCCTGCCCCGTTCATGTAATTTGGTGTAGTTCCCGAACGCCTTTTTAACCTCCCCCTATCAATTGTACCCTGTTCTTATTTTAGATTATTGAAATTAATGTTGCTGTCTTTTATAACTTTTTGTTTACACCAAAAGACTCTGTCAGGTTGAAAATATTTGAGTCTTTTAGTGATAAGTTTTGATTTTGTTTTTAAACTGGACTGTAAAATTGGAATTGATGATTTGTAGAGTTTTGTATCTGTGTTAAATTATGTATTTTGACACCGGATTTTGCAGTTTGTACCCCCGATGGAGTTCTGTTACAGTGTTAGCTGTGTTTTTTATGAGCATCATCTGCAGTTTGTTTATTTAGATTGTTACAGTATTGTGTTTAATAGTGTGACTCTGTGTGAGATAGATTTGATACCAGACTGGGGCAGTTTAATTATGTAACTGATGAAGTTTATTTGTCAGTTTTTATGCTGTTTCTGTGACTGTGTGTGTTAGGGTCTAAGATGTTGTTTAATGTTAGATATCAGGACCCTTTTTCATAAAACTTGTTATTAACAACAAGTTATAATAACTGTTATAAGGTACTAAAATTGGGGCATTTGACTGGCTGAGAGCAAATTTGTTATAGAAGTTTAGCATTTTAACTTTCAACTTTTTCTTTAAAGGTGCATGTTAAGTCCGCATTGGTATTTCAAAAATAATTCATGCATTCTATGCCAGGGAACATCTCTTGAAAATTTTCCTATTGGTTATTATTCAATTAATTATAGAGAGCTTACTTTCGAAATCAGTTGATAGTATTTAGAAATTAATTAAGGTATTAATTAGTGTGCATGTTATGCCAAAGAACATCTGTTGAAAATTACCTTTCAATTATACTTCAATTGATTCAATCTTACTTTGTAAATCAGTTTATTTGAATAACTGGAATAATCTCTACAAATGAGAAAACAATGAGAGTTAATGTTTTGTTCGTGAAGCTATCAGTCAAGATTCAAAGTCATTCTTAATAAGATCTTAATTGATAGCTTTATGAACTACACGTTAACTCTCATTATTTTCTAGATTCTAAAGACGATTCCAATAGATGTCTCTGATAGTCAGTGAATTTTAAGACATATCTCAATCTATTACGGGCAGCATGCCCTGAACAACAGGGCTAAGTTTGAAGTGATAAGTTTGAAATAAAGGTAACAATCTTCTCACAAAAAAGAAAGAAAAAGAAACATATCTATGCAGTGGGTGGGCACATTAAGAGCCAAATTTAACATTTAAAAAATAGAAATCCCAAAGTGATCTCAATTGCAGTCAAAACTGTCTATAGCGACCACCCATGGGAAACATAAAAAGTGGCTTTTTTTAGACAGGTTCCTTTTAATAGTACAAGTTTTAATGAGAAACCATTTTCAAGGGAAACAAAAAATGTAGTCTTTGAGATCACTAAAGCAGGTTTGACTGTATGATGATTGCACACAAATCTAATGCTACGAACTGCTATGTATAACATACACAAGTCTCTTATAATATTCTTTGCTGTTTGTATCATGTTTTGATCCTTCCTGTTGGTGTGGAAAAAGGAAAATGTTTTCAAAATTGTTGCAATTTTTTTTTTGTAGGTTGGTCGAAGAGTGAATCCATCAGCAGCAGTAGTACAAGCACGGAAGAGGGCGCTATTAAAGGTAAGGTTCGAAGAATGATGATGATGACAAGGCGTTGTGACAATCGAAGCAGGCTTTTTAAAATCTAATGTATAGGGTTAGGACAAAGTTAAAAGTTTTGTTGTCTTATGCAGGATATGGATTGATGTGGTTAACAGTTTTTGCACACACAGAACACTATACAATCAACAGAACCCATAGACTACCAAATCCTCCTATTCCCATAGGCTTAATACAGAGACCACCTGGTCCCTGTAGGCAATGAGTTAAAGGTAATACAAAGTTTTGGTATGGGGTCATGAATTTGGTTCAAATTAACATATTGGAAGCATATGCATTCCTATAATATTCAGTGATCGTTGTCGCGGTTGAAATCAAGTCTAAAGTTATGAAATTGTAAATAATAAAGTCTTTATGTCGTATAGCTCCCTCTCAAGGTCAAGATATTAATTAAGCTATAAAACAATGAATCTTTACTAAAATCGACCGATTAGTTATTCCCGTTTGGAAATTATATATCACAACTACATATTCTGAGATTTTCATGGTCGCAGCTACCATTGTACGGCCGCAGGCGCTATTTGAAATTTATAAAAATTTACCAGGAGCACCGGTAAATTTTGATATTCAATTTTTCTCTAAAGCAGAAGTGTTTTAGGGGCTAAAATTTCTAGTGCTTATAATGCATCCACAGGGGCATCAAAATATATAAAAATTGTAAAGAATCACTATCCACCCAATTTTCAAAATTTCCCAAAACTTTGTTCTACCTTTAAGGGCAGTTTCAGTGCTCCTGTATTGCTTTAAGTAACATCGTTGGATTATGTTGTCTAGTACACTTGATATTGTACATGTATGTCTTAATGATGTTACATATTTTGAAAGGTGATGTGTAAGGCTATAGAAATGGCCTTTGATTGACCTTTTGAAAGTATTTTCAATCACCTTGTGTAACTTGAGGCATGCTCACACCATCACTACATGCACAATGTTCATTGCTGTGTGAATAATGCATTGATTTCATCTATGTTTCATTGGTGTTTGGACGTAACATGTACACACATCAATGCACATGTGATTGTCCAGTGGTGTGTTTTCTGTGTGTGTATGTTAGCATGTAGCTAGTTGAGAAGGATAGTTGCGTCAGAGGAAGTTACATTTGATTGGTCAGTCATTTCATGGAGCCTCAAATAGTTCCCTCCTATAGAGATGTTACGTAGGAGGGTACTATTTTGAGCTCCACGCCTTGACCTGTGACCATTTTCGTGTACATGCGTGGCACAACTTTCTCTCTCAATATGCTATGCATTTGCATAAGATTCTAGACAACATTCCATTTCTAATGCCTTGTAACTAAGTCAATATCTTGAAGTTAGAAGTATGACCTATATGTAAATAATAATGATAATAATAATAATAGTTGGTTCTTGTTGCTTCCTTATTGTGTAATGCTATAGCCACACTTACACAATTGATATGTTAGCCTATCTGTAAGTGCCACCTAGGACCAATTTTAACTCATGGTGCCTACAATCACCCTGTAGGGCCATGCAGCTGCAATAGCCACAAAATAGCCACTAGACAAGTTTAGACCCTCGTATAAACTGGCTGTATTTCTCACATATTGCCACTTAGCAATGTCGGGTGGCATAAAAAATGTGTAATGTAATGTAGCACTATGTAGGCCCCATGTCAATAGTCTCATCCAGCGCATGCTGAAATTTTAGCTTTACCCGGCGTTAAGGCATGTACATGTATTTGCCGTAAATACCAGGGAATAACTCGTGTCCCATCCCGAATCACCCCAAAATTGCCTTACCTGGGTGCTTTAAAGCCTGTCTGCACTAGTTTGGCCAGGAGGGATTAGACCTCCCTGCATAGTCACTGACGGATGGTTATCTTTATCTCGTCACCGATAAGGCATTGTTTGCAATATAGAGGGCACAAGTAGCTGCAAGTAGTGCAGACCCGCTTCAATACGGCTAGGATTTTGTGTGCTGCACCATTACATGTCCATCCCACTCCTGCCACTTCAATCCATAACATACACGTATCCCACTGCTGCCATCTCATAACATACACGTATCCCACTGCTGTCACCCCATCAGTACACACTTCTAACCTGGAAGACAACCGCAACGACAGCGCCTATGAGCTCATAGACGAGTCGGAGATCCCCATCGGAAGCAGCGTGGGAGCGGGTGTCCACGGAGCAGTCGGGATAGCCGCAGGGATAGCAGTCACAGGTAAGTCTGCCACCCCCTTTGTCTGTTCATGGTGTGTTTGGTCATGATTAACAACATTTTTATTCATAGAGGGTTCAGGGACACAAAGACGTAACTTCATATTTTGCCAAAATGAGTATTTGATATCAAAATGTTCAGAAAAATGTGGGCTTTACAGGAAACACAAAGACTTAACTCCACCCAACACCCCATTGAAGTCAATGGCTAGTGAAACATAGACTTAACTCCTTAAGGCCCAAGTGCTCAGTGACACATAAACCACTTTTTCTCAAAATAGCCAAAAGGGAGTTACGTCTTTGTGTCACTGACCCCTCGATGTACAGTAGATAAAAGATATCTCTAATTGTACATTTCACTTCAATTCTCTGAATGAACATATTGAAATATGATTCACTAGGTATGCAGAACGTTTCTTTTACAAGACTTAGAATTCAGCTTTTCTTTCAAAGTCTCTAAGAAATACCTCTAGGAACCTGATCTAATGATATCCTCTTGATAATTTCATGAGTACATGTACTGCATGACAAGATATTCATCTCTTGTTTATAACAATCGAGTGTGTGGGACGTTTTAGGGACAGATCTCTTTCATTGTAATGCATGTCTTACATCTAAGAAAGGTAACTTTATCCGGGTTGTCGGGTCGGTTCGGGGAAGGATCGGTGCTTCCGATTGTTCTTTCCGAGCAGTATAGCCTTGGACTACCGTTGTTATTCATGCATCGCTTGCCTATAAAAATGCATGTCAATTTAATCACAAACACTTTTTTTTTTAATCACAGCAGAATTTACAGATCGATTGAAATCCAGGTTGTGTCATTTGCAAAATTGGTCGCTGTCCAAAATCTCTAAATCTGTGACAAATAAATACAAATAAATTGCCTACCTATTGCCATGCTGTCTTGTGAAATGCTAGATGTCTCTTGAATATAAAGAAAAACTTGTTCTTCTTGAAAGTCTCTGTATATTTCAGTTTTTGTATTTTAGTGTTTGACTTTGAAGTATTAAAATCCACTTGATGGTGAAATTAATCTATTCATGAGGATACACCAGTATTGAATATCATCCATCCAGCCCATTCTGAAATGTTAAAGGAAAATTCCACCCTGATCTGAAGTTAGTTTCAATAGAAGCAGAAAAATAGGAAAACGGATCAGTGCAAGTTTCGAGCAAACTCCGATAAAAGATAAGGAAGTCATGAATTTTTGAATTTTTATTCAATAGAACATTAATTAACAACTCTGCAATGTATAATACTCTTGATTCGTAATAACACAAAATCTAAATATAACTTCTCTAAAGGAAATGTTTTATCAAACATGTCCCCTTGATATAATCATTCCACATTGTTTCTACACAACCCCTGTTTGAGAGAGAGAGAGAGAGAGAGAGAGAGAGAGAGAGAGAGACCTCAAAAGATACATTGCCAATTTGTGTTTAATAGAATACAATTACAAAAATTCCTAACTTTGTTATTCTTTATTGGATTTTGCACAAAGTTTTACTGATCTTTCTCTCCCATTTTTTGCTTTTGATTTAAACCAACTAAATATTACGATGGACTTTCCCTTTGTTGGACCAGGTAATTTATCTGGGGGAATGAAACAAATTGGAATTTAGAAAAGTGCCTATTTTAGTCCATTTTAGTAAAATGTATTATAATCCATACAATGCCAGTAGATTTAATAGATAAACATTGAGTCAGACCCTATTTTTTCCATATTTGTTCTTAGTTTCATCACTAACTTTTTGTATTTGTTTTTTAAAATCATTTTGAATAATCTTTAGCTCTTCCAAACATGTTTGCCACTCTTTTTCATTTAATCTTAAATAAAGTAGAAAATGTAGCTTTATGTCACGGTGGATTTTCATTCGTTTAGATTCAGGGGGAAATAGAACAAGAAGAAGAAAATTGAAACAAAAATGTTGTAAACACCATTTGCTAGAAATCAAACGATGCTAATGCATTGTTGCTTTACTGTTATATCTATGAAGTATGAAGTCAGTCAGATAGAAATGGTACAATTATAACAAATTGTTCTCAATATACATGTCAACATGCACTTATATAAACATCCCTATTCTTCTTAATTTTTTTCTACTGATTTCTTATATCTTACTTAAACTTTGACCTCCACCTTTCTCTTCTGACTCTTAAATATCTTTCTCTAATTCTTGTCCTCTATCTCTACCTCTCCATCTCTCCACAATGCAATATCCTGGATTGTTTGCGGCTCACTATCTTTTGTTCGTACACAGATGAAGGTAGTATATGTTACTTAAACGGTGTTGGTTTTTCATTTTTATCTAGTTCCTTTTTCCTTGCATTTCATGTGTGCCTCTGTGTGTAATGTTACTTTGCCCAGGGGGGGTGTTTCATGAAGCTGTGCGTAAAGTTACGCATGACTTTACGCATGACTTGAATATGAAGAGCTAAATGGGATTCTCAAATCCTTTTAATTGCATAAGCTAAATTTGAAATATGCAGATGTAGATTAACCTTATCATTATTAACAAAACATTTTAATGCAAAATGTATTTTTGGCAACAATTAAGTTGAAATTATAGGAAATACAGTCACACTTTGTTAAAATGTCAGGAAAATATTTGGGCATCCCATTTGGCTCTTCATATTCAAATCATTCGTAAAGTCATTCGTAATTTTAAGCACAGCTTTATGAAACCCCCCCCCCCCCCCCTCCCTGGATAACTTTTTCATGACAATGAACCTCCATACGTACAGGACAGCATCCTCCAGTACAATTCGGCAATATCCAAATCACAATGCCAAACTGACCAACTTTTGCCTATTCACCGCAATGTAATTGTTGTCTGTCTTTTATTGGTGTAGAGCCAATTTCATGGTGCGACATGGGAATGACTTGAAATATGTTGACCTAGGACAGTTACAAGTCCAGGGGGGTGTTTCACAAAGATCCTAAGTAGAACTTAACACTAAGTTTGACTTAAAAATTATGGACAGCCATTGGAGCCTTAAAATTAAATATACTCAAAAGCAGAAATTCAAGTATTTTAGACATTTTATAAATTCCACAACAAGAATATGAAATCTCCTTAATGATAGAAAATATGAATGATTTGAATCAACATTTTGTGCCTTTCAAAAATATTTTTACCAAATATTTTCAAAGATGCTAATGGCTTTCCATAATTTTTAAGTCCAACTTAGAGTTAAGTTCTACTTAGGATCTTTGTGAAACACCCCCCAGGGGAGTGTTTCTAATATCGACTTTAAGTTGAACTCAACTATGGCAGGCCTTTCATGCCACTAGTTCCTCCAACCATTCCTTAATCTTTGTGAAACACCCCTCCGTCCAGACAACTAGTCCATTGGAGGGCAATCGTCACTTAGTATATTGCCCTATTTCATAAAACTTGTTTACTGTACAAGCAAGTACCAAAATTATGTAAGAGATTAGCCCACAGCCAATTCAGTTTAAAACACTTATCGTAACTTGCTATTTAAGACAAGTTTTGTTAAACAGGGTCCAGATCTCTATGATGTAGGAGATGCTTTCCTGGATCCGTGCCATGTTTCATAAAACTTGTTATCATTAACAGATGCTAGAATCCTGTCACAAACTTGCTCTCAGCCAATCAAATGCAGTGATATCAGTAGCTTAAAGCGCTTATTGTAGCTTGTTATTGATAACACAAGTTTTATGAAACAGTGCCCCTGCAGTAAATTTCCAAGGGTTGACAATGATTAAAAAACTAGGTGTCCAGGGGTTAGTTTTCACAATCTGGAGCTTGTCCAAAAAAAAAGGTTATCCCTGACTTGTCATTGTGTTACTTCTTATCAGTGTTGTATGCTACTATGTCTTTGACATATATTCTGTGCTGTTTGTTTGGCTTTTTGTGCTGTTTGTTGTGTACTTATTCATCTAATCATTTATTCCTTTCATGTAGTCACAGTCACAGCCACAGCACTTATTTATTTCAATAGCTATATTGCTTGCTCCATGCATGTTTATTCAAGTACATGTCCGTGGATATACTGAGTAGTATGAACCTGTTTCTTATTAATAGTTTTCATGAAATTATTTATTATCCCCGTGCATGCTTTAATATGTTATTGGTGCAGTGATGGATTCCCCAAAGAAGCAACATGCAGCGTTTGCAGAACTGGGGGGTGTTTCACAAAGATCCTAAGTTGAACTTATCTCAAAGTTAGACTTAAACATTATGGAGAGCCATTTGAAGCCTTAAAATATAATATATTCATAAGCGAAAATTCAAGTATTTTAGATTTTTTATAAATTCCACATCAAGAACATGAAATCCCGTTGGTAATAGAAGATATTGATAATTTGAATCAACATTTTATGCCTTTAAAAATAACTTTTACAAAATATTTTCATAGATGCCAATGGCTTTCCATAATTGTTAAGTCCAACTTAGAGTTAAGCTTGACTTAGGATCTTTGTGAAACACCCCCCCCCCCCCAGGAACACAAGTCTCATTTCTAGTGACAGTCCTTGCCACACATATATATTGTTTACCCTTATTTTGCTTTGTCACATGATAATTTAACCATAATTTGATAATTATTATACCTGGGGATTGTACAAATATAAATATTTTATATTATCTGCCTAATCTGGAGAGTGGTAAACTACTTACAGGGCATTTATTCATATTTCTTCTATTGTTTCATGAAAGGGATTTACGAGATTAGCAGTATCACCCTGAATATAAATCATTGTATATAAAATTTATCTACATGTATCAATCAAATATCATTGATAAGAAGAAGGGGAAATTATTGGCCATCTTCTTAAAATGATTATACAGGGTGCTGATAATGTAAATACCTACACACAATGCTATTAAGTCTGGTGTTACTTAGGTGTAAACCTTTAAGTTAGTGTTACCATATTCCCCAAAATACTAATATTTTGTATGTATGGTACAAGGGAATATCATTAATCAAAGCAGGGTTAAGAAAATATCAAATGGTTGGGAACATGTTAATCAATGATAACCTTATACATGTACATGTATTATGAAACAATTTAAAAATGGAGAAGGGGCAAATTATAGGCCAACTTTGTAAAATTATATACATGTGCTCATGGTGTTGATATATAATTCATCCTTCATAAAATGCTATTAAGTCTGGTGTTATAAAAACCGTAGAGTTGCTATATCCCCCGAATCAGACAAAATATTGATGGTACATTGGAATATCATAAATTGGAAGCTGGGTAGAGAAAAAATTAAACATTTGAGAACTTGCGGAGGACTTAAATGTACAGTTAACAACTAGATTATTCATACCCCTAGTAAATTTGATGTTCTTTGTGTGTTTTTTGTAATCCAAAAATGGAAGATGGACTGTTTGAATTAGGGCCTTTGTTGAATACTTTTAGATGTAAGCTTTGATATGTAACATTCTCAAGAAACATAAATAGGAACAAATCAATTTTTCACATTCTTAAACAGAAAACTACAAAACTTGGTATGAGTATAAATAAGTTAGTTGTCAACTGTACATATTTATCAATGATAACCTCATATTATTACTGGGTACGAAATGAGACCCAACGATGAAGAAGAAGATATTAAAGATACACCCATATGTTAAACAGTCATATAACTAGTAAAACAAGAATTTTTGCAATTCATAAATGACCAGATTTTCACTGCAAGAACCCTTTCTAAATTGCAAAATTCACTTGTATATCCGTTGTTGTGCAATAAGTTCAGTATATTAAACTTTCACGATTCTTAACTCGTGCATTTCGCAATTTCATGCAACTGATATTTTCTAGTTTTAATATTGGGGTATCTGTTCTCTATTTTTTTTTGTCTGCATGTGTACAAGTTGATTCTTCTTTGCCTTTTGTCATTTAGATACAAACCCTATTTCAGCCCCCCCCCCCCACTACCCGCGATGTTTTAAACAGTTTACTTTTGAATTTTGTAATAGTTTTACTGAAGGTTTTCCTTTCTTCATACTGTAATGTGTTTGAGCCAGAGAGCTGTATACCAACTGTCCTTGTGGATACCATGTAAATGTTATGAGTAGCAATGCTCCATGTTCTACTCATTCAGTTGAACCTGACCCTGGGTCAAAGGTCACGCTTAACAAAGGGAAAACGCTGACCTCTGGGCATCGTGTCACGAAACCATCATAAGTATAAGTTCTCCGATATTCATTGAAATCCATGTTGAATTTAATACACACCTTTCAATGGGTTGGTGGTGAACTTCAGGAAAACGCTGCCCAGACTGTGTTAAGCCTGATATTGGAGAAGAAAGAAACAGTTTCAGGTTATATTTTAGAAGAATGCTGGTCAAGTTTCCACTGTAATTTTTGTATTTCCCATGTAATACGTATTATGTAAAGATGACATGCTTTTATGTTTGTGATTTCCAGGTGTCATTGGAACCCAGCTTGACATGACTCCACTTACTGGAGTAAACAGACACACAAACCAACAAACAGATCCATCACCTAGCAACCACAACCACCAGGGCAGTGAGGGTGTGGAGGAAGGCATCCAATCAGAGCTCAAGGATATTACCAATAATAATCTATACAACACAGGGGAGTCAGCCATTACATTTATAGGTATGTTCATGAGTTGCCTGTCAGATTAAGGTTCGTTCTTGGCAGAGTTTATTGACTAATTATTATTGGTGTACATAATAGTTTTGAAACGAAAAAGAGTAGGAAATCTTGTGCTATCTCTTTATTTCTCAGTGCAAGTCAGCAGTACCAAAAGCCCTGACATCTCTGACTTGATGGATACACCACATCATTATTGTAATAATCTCTCTATCCCTCTCTCTCTTTCTGTCTCTTTTTCTCTCTTACTCTCTCTCTCTTTCTCACTCTTTTTCTCCCTCTTTCACCCTCTCTCTCTTTCTCTCTCTCTCATTCTCTTTCTCTCTCTCTCATTCTCTCTCTCTCTCTCTCTCCCACTCTGTCTTTGTGTGTGTATAATTTTGAAAGGTAATCAATCCACTCTCCGTCTCTCTGGCACACAGCACCACCCAGCAGCACCCACAGCCCGAACATCTGTGACCTGATGGACACACCCATCATGATCTCTCTCTTTCTTTCTCTTTCACCCTCTGTCTTCCTTTCTGTCTCTCTATCACGCCCTGTCTGTTAGTCTCTCTCTCTCCCACTCTGTCTTTGTGTGTGTATAATTTTGAAAGTTAATTAATCCACTCTCCACCTCAGTGTCTCCCAGCACCACCTAGCAGAACCCAGATCTCGAACATCTGTGACCTGATAGACAGCCCATCATTATCTCTCTATCCTTCTCTCCCTTTCTCTCTCTTTCTCTCTCTTTCTCACTCCTTTTTTCCCTCTTTCACCCTCTCTCTCTTTCTCTCTCTCTCATTCTCTGTCTCTCTCTCACTCTGTCTTTGTGTGTGTATAATTTTGAAAGTTAATAAATCCACTCTCCATCTCTCTGTCTCTCAGCACCACCTAGCAGCACCCACAGCCCAGACATACGAGACCTGATGGATACGCCCACCCGCCACCGGCGAACCAAGCTTGTTGAAAAGCTATCTAGCATGGACTCTGAGCTCTCCGAGGCCAGCACCTTGGTCAGCTTCAACTCATCAGACACGCTGGGCAACGACAGCGATACCAGCTCCACCAGCGGGGTGGACGTCCGGAGCAGACGGTCAAGGATTGCCCACCATTCAATCAGGCCCGTCATGTCGGACACGGAGGTGGAGTTGAATGGGGTATGTCAGCACTAACAGGGAGATGGTCATCTGTTTCAATGTGCAGTAGGGTATAATTGGCTCGCACCAGACCATTAATGTGTGTACAAGTAAACCAGTGGTCTCATTAAAATACCCCCTGGTCTCTAAAGGCCCATCTTCACTATCTCGAGATTGCCAAATATCCAGCTTTTTGAACTATCCCGATCGAAACTATCCAGCTAATTTGCGTCGTCATTAGACCGAAGTAGCAAATTAGCTGAATAGTTGGTCGGGATAATATCCCAAGATATCTTTGTCTAGTTTGCAAAATATCCCACTATTTCCGAACTAGCGGGATGGTTTGCGACCGTATTCATTAGACCGAAGTACGGAGTCAAATATCCCGATCCCATCATGCACAACGATTTCCGGTTTTCCGTGTTTACTAGTTGTACTAGCGAGCGCGCACATGCGATCTATACCGCTCAGCGCGCTAGTACAACTAGTAAACACGGAAAAAAATTTGACTCCGTACTTCCGCTAATGAAGACGGTCGCAAACTATCCTGCTAGTTCAGAAATAGTGGAATATTTTGCAAACTAGACCGAGATATCTTGGGATATTATCCCGACCAACTATCCAGCTAATTTGCTACTTCGGTCTAATGAAGACGCAAATTAGCTGGATAGTTTCGATCGGGATAGTTCAAATAGCTGGATATTTGGCATCTCGAGATAGTGAAGATGGGCCTTAAGAGATTCTTTGGGTGAGGGAAACGTAGGATAATGGCTTTACCATACGGGGGATGGGTAGAAAATGCAGAGAATTACATAAGGCCTGTGGGTCATAAAACTGAAGGCTAATCCTGGTGATTGACAACACCTGTGATTATTAAAGTAAACACCCAAATGCTCAGTGGCTGCTAGGCACGCGATCAATTGGGCAAAAAGAATTTCCATTTTCGGTTTAACTTAATAAAATTTGGAGTGGACTTTAACATATTTGTATTATTATTATTATTATTATTATATTCCCCCATGAGAGCCCACTACTATGTGTTTTTAACCTCGCAGGCACACTAATATAGACCGACACCGTCCCTCTGATAGGATGTTAAATGGAGGCCTTGTGTAGAGGAGATTCACCACCTTTGTATAATAAGAACGCGCTGCACTATTTGAATAGAGAGAAGGGGGAAAGCTAGGTGTAGTGTAGTCCACCTGCACATCCCAAACAGTTATATAGGGCAGGGAGACCTGAGGGTTACAGTGATTACGTTTGCTTTTTCCCTCCCTGGCACAGGTTTCACCAAATACAAAAGAATTACAGTTGACTCTGCAAAGTTCAAAGTCCCTCAAGTCGTACCAAACTCTGCAAAATGTCTTCTTCCAAAGTCAAATTATGCATAAGTCGAAACTGCAATTTATGTATTTTACGATTGTAATTGTTGCTGTTGTTGTTATTTTGTTGACATTATTATTATCATTATTGTTTTTAATTATCATTATTAATATTATCATTATTCATTATTATTATTATTACCATTATTATTATTATCATTGTTATCATCATCATAATTATTTTCATCATTATTCTTACCATTATCATGTTGCACTATTTTTTTCCATTTCTTTTATGTCTTCTCTCCAGTCATCCATGATCCTGTCCAAACGCAACACACCCGCACGCTGGGCAATGAAGAGTCGTAAGTCAGCCGGCTTCCGTTACCATGGCGGCGACATGATAGCGACCGACTCCGACACTTCAGAGGTCATCCTGAGGCGATATGTCTTTGAAGCTTTTGTCGGTAAGACATCATTTTGGAGTTCAAAAAAGAATATTCAAGTTTAATTTAGATGGAAATAATCAAAGTGAGATTTAAAGGTAAAGACCAGTTATGGTCATGCGATTGCATTGTGAAAGAAACGTTGTGGAATCGATCAGAAAAGGTTGATCATCTAGCATCTAGCATCTGCAAGGTTCTGGAATCATCAAAATGATAAGAAATTTGGCCCGTTCTTCGTAAAGTTACAAGCAATATACACAGAAAGATGTATATGGGACTACCCTATATCTCTCACAGACCATGAGAGAAACAAATTTACCAAATATATGAATTAGTAGGCGGTTTCCCGGCAAATTTTTTATCATCATGTATTAGTCAAAACATATTCTTTCACATGATTGGTAATGAGAGCTTCCATTTCATTTTTTGAAATTGGGGCGTTTCCAATACTGGTCTTTACCTTTAACATTTTTTTTATGTTAGTTTGAATAATATCACGGTAGAGAGAAACCTTTGAAAAGGATAGCTCTTCAAATGCCCTTATAATTGAAATATGACAAGTTCAGACCAAACTTTCATACCACATGTATTTCTCTGAAGCTTTTGTAGTTAAGTTATTAGTCCAATCCAAACTAATATTAATTTGGTTTGAATAATAGAATAAAAGCAGAAGAATACGAGAAACATACGTAAAAGTATGAGGAAAATCCAATAAACACAAAGAAAGTTGTGAATTTTAAAGTTGTAATTGATCAAGCAACTCTGTGGCTCAACTTTCAAGCATGTACATGCTATAGAGTATTTATTTATTAGTATTTTGTTTATAAACAAAATTTAGCTTGAAATCTTTTATTAATTTCATAAACATGTATCCGTAATTATACAAAGGTACATGTACATTTATGTAAAAAATGGTTAAAGGGTAACAGAAACCAGACAAATATAGAGTCTAGGGAGATGTGAGTTGGTCTAGCGGTAATATCTATGTATTCGCCTACAAACTGACTCAGGAGACCCTGGCTTGATACTGAGTCACGTCTTCGGATGGTCATTCAAAAGTCGGTCCCCAGATGTAAATAATCATATTTGATACACATTTATAAAAACCCAGATTATACACATATTAATCTAATCAAGTCTGGCACCTTTAGACATTGGAATACATTTTCTGGTTACATAAAATAAAGGGTTGAGCAGTTTGTGCCCTATTGGCCCGAATCCACAAAGGATGTTTAGATTTAACCCATGGTTTAAACCCTCATTTACATAACCCATGGTTTAAAATAAGCGCAAACTAAGCGCGACACAAGTCAGAGGTCCAATATAGACGCGCGCAAGGCAAGGTACGCTTATTTTGCGCTAATTTTTAAACCATGGGTTATGTAAATGAGGGTTTAAACCATGAGTTAAATCTAAACCTCCTTTGTGAATTCGGGCCAATGTGTTTTCAATCAAACAGTGAAAGACCGGTCGCCATTATGGGACCAGCCATTATTCTGGGAGGATGCCTACTTGGATGCGGTTGCCGCGGAGAGGGATGCAGTCGGGCTGGACCAGGGTCCAGCTGAGATGATACACAGGTGAGATAAAGGAATCAGGTGTGTGTGGGTGTGTGTGTGGGTGTGGGTGATTTGACTTAATTTGAGTTGACTTGATTTTGATATATTCTGAGAGGATGCCTTCTTGGATGCAGTTGTGTTGGACCAGGGCCCAGCTGAGATGATGAACAGGTGAGATAAAGGAAAGGGTGGGTGGGTGTGTGTGTGTCTGTATAAGTATGTCCGTGTGGTGAGATAATAGTTGGGTGAGATAATAGAGTTGGACCATAGTGTCACAACTGTTACACTTCCTACATAAAGCGATACGTCATGGTCTTGTAGATATGTCATCGGACTGCGGATTGCAGGGTTCAGTGGCTCTTACTTTTTGCTCGATATTGGAAGAACCGTTGTGTGATGACTCAATGTTGATAAACTTATTCTTTGGTTGACATTTCTTTTCAGGTATGTCTCGCTAACCCCCGAGGAGAGGAAGAGATTGGAAGAGGATGAGGATAAGCTCTTGTCCGGTACGTATATATCAGGGGAGTGTTTCAGAAAGACTATGATCAACTTTAAGTTGGACTTCACTATGGCAGGCCATTCGTGCCACTAGTTCCTCTAAACATTCATGGCATTGGTTTATCAAGGGACGTACAAATCATGGTCACAAATAGAATTTACCTTTGTTGATAGTTGATTATTGAACTTAATTATCTAAAGATCATAATTGAGAGACCAATGGTGAGAACAACCAGTGGCATGAATGGCCTGCCATAGTTAAGTCCAACTTTAAGTCCATCTTAGTCTTTGTAAAACACTCCCCAGATGTCCTTGATAATGCTCCTTTATTTTGCAATATACAGGCCTGTTAATTACCCTATTTAAATCGGTTTCTCGATTTTTAATTTTTTTTCCTGGTTTTATCCCTATTTTCCCCTTATTTTCTCTATTTCCCCCCATTTTCCCCTATTTTTCTTACTCAAAAAGGGAGAATGTTGTTAGACGCCATTCCCCCCCCCCCCCCGAATCCTCTTCTTCTTTTTTTTTACTGCAGGGGGGAGAAAAAAACCCTATATTTTTGTAGTGCTCACTATCACTCCTGAATATAAATATTGAGTTTTTGGATCCGTTTCACAAAGCCTTTTTTCAATGACAAATGACAATAATCAGTGACAAATCTGCTGATAACCAATCAGAAGCAAGGATTTCAGTAGCTTATAACAAAAACTGGCATTTGTCACTGATGACAAATTTCATGAAATGGGGCCCTGGTTGTGTGATTACATTGTGAAAGAAACCATCTAGAAGCACTTTGTATAAGTGTCATCCAACCTTTATTAGAAGTTCATTTGAGGGGAAGAACGGAATAAGAGAAAAGGAATCGCAAAATTTGAAAGAAATTAGACAAATTGTTTAAAAAACGTAAATATGAGATCACTAAATCAATGCATCTCAAATTGGCAATTGGTCAGTGGATTGTGATGTATTCATGGTCAACCCTCCCATTTGTTGTATACTTAAATCTTAGCAATAGCTGGTTTTCTCCTAAGAAACTTTTACCATGAGGCACTTATCAGATACTCAGAAGGGATTAATTCTTAAAATGGATAAATAATCATAGCATCTCAGCTTAAGCCAGGATTGTTATCATTATTTTCATCATTATTATTATTATTATTATCATTATTATTATGATTATCATCTTCATCATCATCATCATTCTTTTGTTGTTCTTCCTCTTCAGAAATGCTATACAACATGACGGCTTACATGATAGAAATGGAGGTACCCAAGATAGAGGTCAAGCGACGAGTCAGACGTCTGCTTGGAAGGTCACATGTTGGCCTACTTTATAGCCAAGATGTCAACGACCTTTTGGACCAAGTCAATAATTTGGTAAGTGACCAGGTCCCCGTCTTGCAAGTAAACGCAACTATGGGCATAAGAGAAAGGGGATTGCAAACTTGCGATTAATTAATAAGAGGACTTGCGATCGATTGAGATCAATCCTAACTCTTTATAAGATGGCAAATTTGTGAATGAGTGCAGAACTTGCGATCGATTCAGATTGATCCTAACTCTTTATAAGACGGGGGCCCAGGGCTCATATTCACAAACCTTACTGAGGCTAGTTTCCAACTATCTATGTACTTTGGCATATGTAATTAGTTGACAACTAGCTTGGTTTTATGAACATGGGCTCAGGGGCCCTGTCCTTTAAAAAGTTGTGATCGATCTGAATCGATCGCAAATTATGCTCACTACCCCCCTCCCCCCCCCTCCCCACTGAGCAAAATTTTGGTCGGCGCAATTTTCAAATTTCAGCCCCCCCCCCCCCCCCTCGACAAATCCTGGATCAGCCACTGACTCAGGGTATGATTGATCCGGGGAGGGTAATTGTCCTTATACAAAAATTAAAACCTGTTACTGTTACATTTACATGTTAAATTAAAACCCCTTGTGGACCACCCTGCAGTATTGTAGTCATGATTTTGATCTTAAGCCAGCAAGAATTTGTCAGATGAGGAAACGCAACTTAGGTATACTGCATCACATGTGTGAATGAACCCTTAATAGAGACTTCATTTTGCTGTTTTAATGTTACAAGGAAATACCCTGTAAAAATATGGTAAATAACTGTCATCTTGGTAGTATTAAAAGGAATTTGTTTTATTATTATTTATTCGGCAAAACAAAGTGTATACAAAAGAATTACATAGAAGCATTTGTTTCTCTTTATGCAGTATGGCAATGACATTGACCTGAAGCCAGCAGGGAGTCGTCAGATGAGGAAACACAGCTTTGTGGTGCATGCTGGTTCAGATAATAAGGGAGACGTACTCTTCATGGAGGTAACAAATTACGCATAGTTCAATCATGAAATGTGGTCTGACCTTGCCAATAACGATAACTGCATACCTGCCAACCCTTACGAATAATCTGGAATATTCCGATTTTTGGGTGTTTTTGTTTTTGTGTGTGTGCTAAAGCCAAAATAGGCTTCTTCTATCATGTGTTGCGATATGAGAGTTCACATAATGCGTGCCTTGAATGGCTGCAGAATTGAGCAGCGAATTTGTATTAGCTTTTTGTTACATTTTCCCCGCGTTTTGCCACTAAACACTGCCGCTGTAAGTGCAATTTTTAGTTTTCGAAGGCATACAGTGCTAAAAATTCCTAATTCTCATTTTCAAATGTTGGCAGGTATATTAACTGTATTACGAAAAAAGGTGATTCTGTCCAATGTGTCCCATCAGGCAAACGTAGTTCAATTATGAAATCTGGTGTGACCTTGCTAATAACGATATCTGTAATGACAAAGGGTCGATTCTGTCCAATGTGTCCCATAAGGCATACAGTGTACCTCTATTTTCCAATCATTTCATCCAAATTTCGTTCTGGACGCATCTTTTTGTGCAAGTTCATTTCGCTTAGATACCTATTGTGTAATGTTCTTATATTTTGATGACATTTATAAGCAAGTTCCTAAAATATGTAATTTTTTTGTTTAGAGTTTGTTTTGTGAGCATATTTTTCATCTTAAGCAAAAAATCTTCATGCGCTTAGAGACGTCGTAGATGTATTAAGTGTTATATAAAAGCGGAATATTATTATTATTATTATTAATACAGATAAACTTTCATGATAGATGTTAGACTTCTTATAACAGTTGTTTTGCCCTTTGTCTTTTTGATCAGGTGTGCGATGACTGTGTAATAATCAGGTCAGGTAATGGTGCTGTGTGTGATAGGTGCTGGTACGAGAGACTAATTAACATGACCTATTGCCCCAAGACTAAAGTCCTATGTCTGTGGAGGAAGGTCTCAAGTAACACCAAGCTGGACAAATTCTACACCAAGAAGGTCAGTATCACATTCTTATTCATATTGTCTAGAAACCTCGCAAGTCTTCTCATTCTATAATATATCTCAAGTTGGCCACCCAATATTCAAATGATGCACACAAAGTCAAAGAAACTGTAGAGTCTGATACATAATAAACAATGTGCTACAATCAAATTTTTACAAAACAAATAAATTAATGTAAGTTAGCTATTTTTTACTCTATTTTACCATTGATCACAAACTCATTGTAAATAGTCATTTATTGTTTTACTCTTGACACTAAATTTACTTATAACTATTTTTTTAGTTTCTATAATTCATATTGCTATAGATCATGTATTTTAATTCATGTCATATTTATATTTATGTTATATTGACATTGTCATTTTACATTTATATATCTTTTGTTTCAATGTTTTCAATGGTGGTGGATAAATAAATTAAACTTGATTCAATGAGTACAGGATTTCACAATGATTGTATTTAACATCAGAAGGAGCAGCTCAGTTAGCTCAGTCAGTCTTTATGATCCATTATGATTAATTATTGTTGTAATTTTATATTTTTTCCCTTTTTTTCATTTGTAGTGTCGTGAGCTGTATTTCTGTATCAAGGAAAGCATGGAGAAAGCTGCCTCAAGGCAGAAGAATGGCATTACTGCAGGTAAAATAAGTCTCCTGTACTGCCTCGACAGAACCCTGTGGTTTTATTTGCAGTTTCCCCAATTCATTTCTATTGCTGATTAACTTTGTATAATTCCGGTATATTTGTAGACATGTTTCCATTTTTTGTGTGTTCTGTGTTTTCTATATTGTATATAATCTGTATCTTATATGCTTTTTATGGATTTGAATTGAAATAAAACTTGAAACTTGAAATATTTAATTCCAAGCAAGGTGTGAGTGATAACAATAATTTAACTGTTTATTACAAGGTCTCCGACCATATATTTCTATAGAACCAGAGCTAGGCTGTGTGTTTCCCCATTCAGCATAGGCTTATCAAGTTGAAGGTATCCCTATTTAACCCTTTACTAGCTTCAGTCAACTAAATGAACAAGCACCGGACTGCCATAGTCAACTTTTGCCACACATACAGTGTACATGTACAATATACTCCAAACATTGTGGCAGTTCAGGGGTTTGTTCCACAGGGATTAAAGAGTTACCTCTGAGTTAAAGGGTATGAGTTGACACCTGTCTTGCTTTCAAACAGCCAAAATAAGTGTAATCTCGTTACTCGCTTTGCTCGACCTATGGAACAAACGGTGGACTGCCACAGTAAGCTTTTGTCACACATACAGTGTACATGTGTAATTTACTAAAAACAGTATAGTGGACCAGCGTTTCAATCCATGATTAATGGAGTAGATTTCTCCTAATTCCAACAGAAAATATAATGTAGATGAATGAAGGTGTTCATGCTATAAACAAGTATTTATCATCATGTATTTCTCTAGAACCGGAGCTCGGTGGTGAGTTTCCTATTCAAGATGTGAAAACAGGAGAAGGTGGCCTGCTTCAAGTTACCATGGAAGGCGTAGGGCTCAAGTTCCCCCAGTCAAAGGTGAGAGAAATATGGCATAAGGTAGCTTGGCAAAATTGTAGCTGCACGTAAAGGCGCGTCTAGAACGCAAAACTAATTTTTGTTGGTTATTTCACCGAATATACCTGTTTATATTTCAGTTGATGTATGTTCCTTTTCTGAACCGCTGGTTTGAACTATTTGATTCACCAGCTATGAATAATGATATCTAAAATGGATCGAGTACATATATACTTGTATATATTACTTGTTGCTATATCTGGCAAGCCTCCGGCAAGCTGTTGTGTTGTCAAGAGAAATTTTGTTCAAGGGGTTTGCATAAACCTAGTAAACAGGTCTATTGAAAAGTGTAATTTGACATATATATTTTGAGGAATGTTTCTAAAATGAATAAGTAAAGGTAGTATAATTGATAATCACACTTCAAAATATACAATAAATTTTCTAATTTCAACAATAATTTATGTTGTGTTCCTGATGTGTATTTACGCATCACTACATTTTGCTAAGCTCCCTACATGACTGTGTATGGAAGGAGAATGCATTTTTTGAAAGCAAAACTGACTTTAACTTTAAGGTCTTCAAACAAACTTTCTTTCACGAGGGGGCCGGGTTTACATATTTAGGGTCAGTTTGCTAAGCTCCCCTGTCAAAATATATAAATGTAGATAGACACAAGTTAATATTTTGGGGGCCGTTAGTGTCAACCCTTTCTGTTACTCTAGAACTTTGGCTTAAAAGAAATTGTCGTGAGCGAGGGCCAGATTTGTGAAAGATTTATTCTGCAAAATATTGGAAGTTCTTTGAAGATTTCGTTCCCGATTTCGTGAGCTTGATGAGATGAAAATGTGTATTAAAACTAAATCAAAGCGTATTTAAGGGATACAGTATTCCCTTGATCGTACTCCTATCCCTACCACTTGTATTCGTGCAGAGGGTGTGTTTATATTCCTGAACTTGCATGTACACAGCCATAGGTATTGCCAGGGCACTAGGCAGTATATGTGCATCGTATGAAAACACAACCATTGGTTAGTCAATGCTGTCACACCAGAAATTTCTGCGACATGAAACTCAGGCAAAGTGTCAGGATTGGCCAATTTCACAGCAAGAAGCTTTATACGCCAATTGCCAAATTTTGCGCTGTGGCAGTTGAGAAGCAATTATCTTGTGGCTTGAAACATCCCCCAAATTTCGCGAAGGTTTCATGCACGCAAAAGTTCCTCGTTTTTTGGCAGCACTAGTTCAATCATTCCGGGGCGCACTTGCCATGTTTGATGAAGAAGTTACCGTTTAGGAAACAAACATCACCTTCGTGTTTTTAAACACGAAAAAATAGCTAATACTGCACAGTATGCACAATCCTTAGCACACATTGTAAGTACATGTATTAGACCACGATAGATTGTGTGGTCTACAAGCGAAATGCACGTTTTTGTTTCGCAATCATAAAAGATCACCATCACTTCATATCGTCTGTTTCAGAGCCATAAGGCATTTAACTGTGTGTTAAAGTATATGGCCCAAATTCACAAAGGAGGTTTGTCGACAAACCTTGGTTTTCGTACGTCATATGACGCGTTTTACGCGTTTGTTACAAACCTGGTTTGTAAAGAACAAAAGAAGGTTTGAGCTCAAACCTTGCTTTGTGAATTCAGGCCTATGAGTTTTGACCCTTCTGGCTCCAAGCAGAGGACATATGTATATACTCATTTTTGTGGTGATAAGTGCTAGCCACTAGGAAGCCTCCTTTTTTTCTACCGTCAAAAGAAAAATAAAGCTTATTTTAATAGGGTGTAAAGACTTTTGACAGTCATTTTAGTAAAATATTTGTCAAATTGGAGAGGGTGGGTGGGGGGGGGGGGGGTTCGCTTAATTGAAATTATCTCTTGCCCCTGATTTTTTTAACCCTTCTCCACGTTGTAATCATCTTATTCTGTTGTGTCATGTATGATGCCAATTTTTTTTTAGGGATTAATGCACTGTTTTTTATGATGGAACATCATCATTAGAAAGAAGATTATCGTTACGGGTATAAATGTTATAATTTATCTCATTTGGCATCTGTATCACTATTAGATTTAGTTACAACGAGACGGAAGATCCGATGTGCAAGAATTGATCTTTGAAAAATTTAGTCTGATGTTATCAACAGTTTCCCAATTTCTTTTTACAATGATTTTGTCATCTCTTTTTGATGACATTTGTAAGGAGGGTTGTGTCGATCTGACAATGAGAAACAAAACATTCATTTTGATGCATGTACATGTATAGTATTAAGGCATGATGCAGTAGACTTAAGTTTCCAGGCTTTCCTTTGATTATCTATGTGTCACATTGTCGTCTGGGTTTGTGTCATGCCACACAAGCTGCTTGCCGTGTCATTTGTGAATGGTCCTCTAAGGTCTGAGAAAAGAGACTAGTTAGTCTAGGGCTCAGTTAGGCTGTTACCTGTGTTTGGTATGGTGGCTGACAAGAGAAAATCATTTTTGTAGCAGCTGTTCAAGCCTTGAGAAAGTAGTAAATGTCAGTGCTGCTCAAACTGGATAATAAATTATATGGATTAACAAAATTATTTTCGTGCAAAAGCGCAAAGAAATGCATTTTCAAATTGTGAAAGGTATTGTGTGCCCAGTTTCATCATCAATCTTTGATATTGATCTCACAATTAGATGTTTTTAAGTTGATACAACTAACTTGTAACTGGGTTGCAATTTAGGGCTAAAAACAGAGGCGTAGAGCGAGAGAATGAATTGAAAATTGCCATTCGGGTAGAAGCGAGCTCGACATATATTTTGGGGTAGCTTCGCATGGTTTGAAACAGCTACATGTAGGAAAAAAAATGAAAACGCAAAAAACAAGATCTCAAAACAACGGAAGTGAAGTCCCTCCAAGGTTGTGTGACATGACAAGCCTATTTTCCTAACCCTCTCGTTCATTCCTTCCTTCATTTTTACCCCCTTTGATGCATACAAATGAAGGAGTCTGAGGTAGGATTCGATGGCTGTATATTCCTTTTTTTGATACACTGTATACTGTGTCGTGTTGACCCTTCGCGCCTCCAGTCAGTACTACCCCACGTTGTATATTAAAACCTAGTTTGATATATTTGGTTTTCTTCCAACCTCTCGTTATATTTTACCAAACACTTGCCCAGACCCTAGTTGGACCAGACACAAGCTTTCCTATCCATGTTGTGTCTTGCTTTCTGTGTGCACCGCTTAGGTTTGTGAAAATTGTGATCAGCCAAGCAAATGAGCACACACCTCTGCCCATCAGTGTTTTAATTATTATGTATTCATTTGTATTCCTTTTGTTGTTGTTGCAGTACTGTGTACATGTAGAATGATAATGATAATAATAGTCACATTTGTATAGCGCTTAATACTCCGTTTCTAAGTGCTTTACTTTGAAATTGTTTTTATTACCCTGGTATTTGGATTCAGTTGCTATTAATCCTCACATGATAGTGCACACGCTCTGCTCCTTGGGGAGTATTCCGGCCAGGCGCCATTTTACAACCGCTCACACCCCAATCCATCTTCATTAACATTCCCATTCTAAGATCGACTTTAAGTTGGACTTAACTATGACAGGTCGTTTATGCCACTGTTTGCTCTCACCACTATGATCTTTAGATAACACTTTTTCCTTAATGAATTATCCAAAAATGTAAATTCTGTTGATTTGTGACAGTGATTTGTACGTCCTTTGAGACAGCTATATGAGAGACCAATGCAAACAGTGGCATGAAGGGCCTGCCATAGTTAAGTTCAACTTAAAGTCGATCTAAGTCTTTCTGAAACGCTCCCAGTTCCCATTAAACACCTGGGTGAAGAGTGGCAAATGTATGTTAATGTCTTGCCAACTTACATAAGTGTTGCAACGGGATTTGAACCCCTAAACCATGTGGTCCACAAAACCCACGATACCTCTATGATAATAAGATATAATTAAAGATATTCCTCCTCTTTTGTTCACTCACTCACAGTTGTAGGAAACATTAGTTGTATTCCAGATTTTAAGAGGAAGCAAGAAATATGAGTGACTGAAATGTCAAACATCTCTGACTAAAGGCTTTTACCCTTGATTTGCTTAACTGCCGTAGTAGTTAAAGGTCACATATAGTTTTGGGATGCCCTAGCTCAAATAGCAGTGATCACATTTCTTTGATTCTTTGATTGATGACAGGATATGAGCATAATTGCCTGCTGTGAAGTTTTTTCTTCCTACTCAAGTGAAATACGAAACAGAGATGGAAGGTTACAAATAATTTAGATACCAGTACATTGTACATATCCCGGATCTAAATTCCAACAGCAACATTCAGCATTATATATGTGTTGTGCATTTTAAACCTATGAAGACTGTGAATGCGCTACAGTGTACACACGCACTATCTCTGGGTGAATCGCTGAGATTGGGGTGAAAGGGTTTTAGCATAGGGTAGATTGTGTAGAGTATACCGTGTGAGTCAAAAAAAAAGTTTACACCTAGAAAATTGCTTATTATTTTAAACATCATCTATGAACAGTAAATTATTATACATCTTATTAGGAAATAGTGTTTTATCCCAAATCATTTGGTATCATTTTTGTGTGGTATGTGTTCACACTTGGATGAACAGGAGGCGAGAGTGCAAAATCAACTTGTACCAGGACACCAACCTGTGTGCCATCCACGCCAAGAGGGTTACCGTCATGCCCAAATCATTCAGCTTTTTATTCACATCCCACTTGAAAGTGAACCCCTGCACGGGATGAGCGCGTCTTTTTCTGGGTGCGGGTAGTAGAAAGTAACAAAGATAACAATATTTATAAACATATGCATGATATACATTTAACATGAGCAAAAAATCATATGGCATTAAATTGAGAAGGAAAAAAAATCAGAACTGAAGAAATATAAAATGTAGTATGAGGGCCACTCCAACAATAAAATTGTTATTCAGAAATTCCAGTTGAACAGAGAAAAACGGTCCACGCTCTGAACAAAATGAGTCCGCCTTCAAAAAGACAATT